CACAGTGTATGTGCTTGCAAGGCAGTGTTAATAGTCTTTACGAATAGCTAAATTGTAATGCCTCTAACAGGAATTCTGGGAACAGGATTGTCAGTATTACGGCCTGAGCTCATCTTTTCAAATTTCCAGAGAAGCTGAGATCCCCAGGATTCTCAGAATATTGTTGCAAACAGTCTCTGTTGATTTCTCCAGAAACAGATATTGAGGAACACCAGAATACTAAAACTAATAAAGTAATAGGTACAAAGTAGTACATATCAAATTCATGAAGATCTGGAAACTTTCGAGTTCCGTGAACCTGTACAGTATTTATGGCAGTGATGACTTTGAAAAGATTGATGGCTTTTCTGATGTTCAGAGATGAACATGTACCGTGGGTACAAACACTTGTGTGTGTGTACATGTACATGTACATGTACGTGTGCATTTATTGTAAGCATGTACGTGTATATGTAGCATGTGTACATGTACTCTACATTATGAGCATTCACACAGAGCTTACATGTAATTAATGAATCATAATTCTTTTGTCATCCCTCATCAAAATGCATTGCCGATGTTTGTTGACAGTGCAGCATCATTACTAACCAGCTTGCTGGGGACCACTGGTCTAGGCGGACGTAATAATTTCCACTTGATTATTGATTTTATCAATGTTCAACACCACATGTACCCCCAGACCATCGAGCATCTTAACATCCCATGAATCATCGCACTTGTAAACAGTGCCCGTGCGCTAACCTTTAGACCAACTCCTCCTGTCGATGGGTGAAACAAAAGGTTTCTCTTAGCTTCTCTCTCAATCTCTCTTTCCGTGCTGCGCACTGTTACCGTGTTTGTACACTGGGATCCCAGTCGTACACTAGTACTCAATTAAACCCCCTGTCACGCGTTCCAATGCTTACCCAATCCCCGGGGAATTTCTTCTAGCCAGATGGTAATCAATAGCGTCACGTGGAGCACGTATCAGCAGGCCAGGAGAGAGAGAGTGTGAGTGTCTTTTTTTTAACGCACCATATGCACTTTGGAATTTGCATCCTACAACTCTCAGGGACCCAGTGGAGGTTCTTGTCTTTATTTTGTCAACATGCATTGGTGGAGTTAAGAAAAAAAAAACATACTTATACTAAAACTAGGCTGGGTAGATGCACTTGAGCGGGGAAAGGACCGACCATGTGGCTTGTTTTTTTTTTCTGTTTCTCTTAGGCTTAGTATGCCTAATAGCAATGCAAGACACACCGCACCATACGTTGACTGCCGCCTGGCCCAGTGATCAACATTAAGCGACGTGGGCTGATTGTCTGGTCCAGGCTGCGAGGAGAATTAATCACAACTGGGCTGCACTTCATTCCACTGTGCACTGTCCCTATTAGCCCCACCCCCCCCTCCCGGGGCGTGAGTGGCTCAGCTGAGGCAGCGTGCGGCATAAGAAACTGACAACCGCACTCGTGGTATTTAGAGCCCAGGCCAGCTCAGCCACTCTGTCGGTGTTTGGGTGACTCAGTGCTCTGGATTCAGAGATTGGGAAAGTCTTGATGCGTCGGCAAGCTTGACTCATCTCAACCATTTATGAGTAGATGATGTCGGTGGCTTTTTTCCAGAATTGTGGTTTGGGAAAGAATGCTGTATGTACTCAGTTCCTCTGGCGATTTGCTTTATGGCCGCAGTTTTAAAACCTTTCTTCTCAGAAGATGAGGAGTTGTGCCAGCCAATTTAAACTTGATTAGGACAGGTTTTTCTTCTGTTGATGTGAAGGAGGTCCTGACTGGAAAACCTTTTCAGTGAATGAAATCTACATGTGTGTAATTAAACTGGCAGCGGGAATCTTGGACGTTCCTGAGAACAGACAAGCCGTAAAATTCCACCTGGGCTTCATCTGCTCAGCTGATGTCGTCTTGAGTGTGCGCTGTCGGTGATGTGACGAGTGCAGTGTTCTAATTGGAGAACTCCCAAAGCAAAGCCGTCTGGAGGACCAACTCAGATTTCAGTATTTTTAGAAGGGCTTCCATCGGCGGTAGAACATCATTGCATTACAGGCGGTGACTGCTCAGGCACTTAGCAAGCAAAGGTATCACCAGCAAGAGTGTTGCGCTTTCCACAAAGGAAAAAAAAAAACCTGGGAAGTCGTCATTCAAGGAAAGTGTGCCTCTCTGCCGACAAAAATGGTTCAGCACTGGGAAAACTGATATTGACTCCTCTTAATCTTGTCTTATTGAAATGCTACCTGTGCCTTTTTGAAATTCACAGGATAAAAAATATAATCAATTCTAGCTCTTCATAGAAATCTTCAAGTATTCTTTTCAGTTGGACGTATCCTTCAGCTTAAGCACTCCGTGGACGCTGTTCTCCTCCGAGAAACTTTTACACAGGATAAGACTGCATTGGATGACTTTTGGACGGGCAATTGCAGCAGATTCATCACAGAATATACGGAGACTGTCGTGACAGAGACAGAAAGTGTTCTGCCGTCTCCCAGTGTCTCCAGCACCGTGTTTAAGCGAACGGCAGCCAAGATGCGGACACATGCACTGTAGGTTGTTGGATGTCTTGATTGTTGTTACATGTACTTCCTGTTGTTTAGTTTTGTTCAAATTGTTTTTTTTTTGGGGGGTAGATGTTGTGTTGACAGTTTTAGTTAAAATGTAAGTGGTATACCGGTATGTTGTACAATGTATATGAGTACATACATGTACATATGCGCATACTTCAAAGAACATGTGCACAGTATATATACAGTGTACATACATTGTGTGTACATGTACATTTAGGCCTACATGTAATATTAATTTTCTGGCCCAAAAATGTGTACCTGATGACATGTACTTTGGTGTTAATGTAAATGTACATGCAACCTAAGATGTCCCAGAGTTGTGTTTGAAAGGAAAGCTCATCTCATTTTTAGGAATCTAGTGTTTGCCTGTTCTACATGTACATGTACCAAGTACATAAATTGTCAATTTGTACATGTACTGTATGCGTGCGTTTATTTATCTTAGTTTGGGTTTCTGTCCTTGTTTGTGCATCAGAGGTTTTCCTTGTTTCTAATTTGTCCATTGTATTCAGAGTCTATGTGTACATGTACATGTTCAACTGGTTCTGATATACTGTACATGTAGAGTACATGTACTGTATGTAATGTACAGAGTACAGCAGACCGATGCATGTACACTTTCATGTCATTTTCTTTGCTTCTAATATTTGTGTTACAGGTGAACATTTTTACTCACAAGTTTGCGGTTTGTACTAGTTCCAGTTGCCCTTGTGCAGTAACGGTACTTGCTTACATACATGAACACGGGCTCAATTTTTGTTCATGTTTCGGGCATAGGAACCTGTTACTTTGATGTTACTTTAATTGATGAACTGCAGTACAATGTGTCAAATTCATGTTGGTGGCACATGTCAAATTTACCATCTAGCCCAGGTTTACTATCACACTGGTATTTGTATGTGTACTTGTAATGGAGCTGTCCGTACTATGTCCATTGATGCAGTCATATCAGAATATTGCCTATCAGAGTCGTACATGTACATGTATCATCGTGGCCTTATTTTTTTGCTGGTAATGGTGAAAGGGTACCAGAAGCACACAGTGCAGCGTTTGGCCAAAAAAAAGTAACAAAAAGTAACAAAGGCACAATTTTTAATCTTATCACTACTCCTACAATGTATTTACATGTAGTGTGTATATGTACCCAGTATGCACACTACCGCTATTTGTTTCAGTGATGAATTGGATGTTCTCTTTTCACAAATGATATAAGGAGTATTGTAAGTTAAGATCACATGTTGTAATTCTAGTATTGATGGGCACTTTCCACACAGATTGTTTCTGTCAGTTGGCTGAGGGTGAATTAAATGACATTTGCTCATTTTCTTTCTTGTTGTTTTTCCATTCTTGTAGAATGGAACATTTCCACTCTTGTAGAATGGAACATTTCCACTCTTGTAGAATGGAACATTTCCACTCTTGTAGAATGGAACATTTCCACTCTTGTAGAATGGAACATTCAAAGTTCATTTTAATGTCAAAACTGACGGGTAAATTTATTCTGTCCGTGTATGATCACAAAAAGGAATAACAACTTTGTTAGAACAGAAATTGCTCCACTGCTTCATTCAGACTACAGCCTGCATCCTTAGTCACAAGTTTAAAAAATCTTTTGGTCGTTGGACAGTTGTAGCAATTTATAACAGTACGGGAAGCAATGCCAATGTGACTGGCCCCCAGCACTGCGTTTTGTTTTGTTTTGTAATATGCATTTTGAGGTGTCTTTTTGACAGCCTATGGGCAAATTTCGATGATGTCGAGTGGAGGGTGGACGAGTCAAAACTTGATCGCCCCTTTTGAGCGAGACAGTTGATTTCAAATGAAAAGCAGGGTAGAGAAACCTCGAGGTCACATCTTAACATTTATGAATTCACAAGGGCAGGCTTGATGAACGTGTGGTGCATCATGATGGAGTAGACACAAGCGTACTGTACAGGTACCAGCATTTTAAAGAACAGGTCCGTTCATGCTTGAAGTCCGAAGATGCTGTAAACAAGGGATACTTTGTTTACAATGTACATGCATAAATGTATGTAACAATAACAATAATAATACTCACCGTTTACTTTAGGTGCTCTCTCTCGTTTGAGTCGTACTTTCTACCGGTACTCGGCATTTGGACGACATGCTCTGGTAAAAGTGTCAAAATGTGTACACGTACATGTACCTTTTTGTACATGTATAAGGACTGGTTTTGACTGCATTCACGACAACAAACAGACAAATTACTAACAGTTTACTGCTGTTGTTGGTGCATTGTACATGCACATGTACACGTACGGAGGTCTTGTGAATGACAGAAAAGGAGTCCAACAGTAGGGTTTTGTACATGTGTGGATTCATTGGCGCATTGCCAGTCTGATGTACATGTACTGTATATGTAAAATTTTTGTCTTTTGCTTTTTCATGTTTTTCTGATTTTGCTCGTTAATTTGTGTCATTTGTTCAGGTTGAAGGCCCCGGAGATTGCCATAAACGGCCTGAAGCAGAACATGGCGTCTTCGGAGTACGATGTAATCAGGTCCCGTTACCATCTGAAGGAGACCATTGGATCGGGTGAGAGAAGAAACCAATATCTTTTCTTGTGTTGGCAGGATGCAAAAAGGAAGGAGATCATTTTTTTTTTTTTTGTTTTTTTTTTAGTTTTTTGGAGAGGGCAGCAGACTATCTTTGACTGAAACGCTTGACCACATTTTTCGGTGAAATGATTTTTGTAAGAGAAGTGTCTCATGGGATGATATTGCTTCATGCATGTTTTGTTGTTCACGGTTCAGTGCACACTTCCAAATGATTAAACATGCATTGATGTTAATGAGTTTATGAACCGGTACATGTGCATTATACTATACATATTCCGGTACATGTATGTAATGTACATATGTACATGTAGATCTGCATAGGGACCTATGGCATGTACACTGTCCATTATGCTTACAAGTACATGTGTTGGTATGAGTCAAATAAACTACCTTTTTCCTGTTGAACTCTATTCTTCTGCAATGTTATCTCACAAATTTAGAAAACATATTTCTGTATTATTTTTTTTTACGGTTTTGTTCAAGTTCGTCAGTTATGTTTCTTGACCTTCACTGTACATCTGTTAGAATCTCTGATACTTTTGTGTACCTGTTCCCCCTATACACCAGTGTTTATTTTCCGGTCAAGCTTCATATACTGTAAATACATGTACATGAACAGTTAATGGAAACGCATCTTTTTATTTTTCACGTTCTGGTTGATTGGCTTTTTTGTATTGGCACTGCTAAAGTATGGCCCTACCAACATCAGGAGACACTGTGACCACTCATGTGTGATGTGATTGAAACGCGTACATGTACATGCAGTGTCTTGTTAATCCTTGCTCCACAACGAATCATCGTGAGAAATAGGAGAGTCGATACTTGTTTAAAGTACCTATTTTCATATTTAGTTTATCGGTAGTATTTTCTTTGAACGTCAGTGTGATTCGGTGCATACACCAGATTGTGAACCAGATGCCTTGAACCTTTCCCCTTTGTCTCCCCTCCCCCCCTCAGGTGGTTTTGCCAAAGTCAAGCTGGCCACGCACATTGCCTCCGGTGAAAAGGTCGCCGTGAAGATTATGGACAAGAGGGCACTAGGGGTGAGTTGCATGCCTGCTCACGTACATACATGTAACACCGTGCCCACGATGTAGGGGCAATCGTGCAAAGAGTTTGGGGGGGGGACAGTTCGGCCTCGCCGTGACTGAATCTTTAATGCATTCTTGATGAGGAAACTTGTGACCCATATCTGGAAATGATGAATTCATCGTCACCCTTGTGGTGATGCAAAAATCAATTCAAACTGTGCATTACAAGTTCTATTTTGGATTAGTGCTTTTATTTTTTACCTGGGTAATTCCAGAATTTGGGGTCCAAAAGTGTGACATACATGTATTTGTGTCCCCTGTTACATCTGACCTTTGTTATTTGACATGGAAATATCACTGGAATTGATTTCAAGCTATTGCAATTTTTGTTTGTCAGGTAATTTGCATTAATTCATCACTCTTGGAAATTAGAAAATGTGTTCTGAACCTACTTGTATAAAATGTCAGATGTGACAGGGACACGAAACAAAAAGGACCCATAATTTCTGGAATTACCCACCTACTTTTTTTTTTACCTGAACCGCTGCATACAGGTAATGTCCCCCAAAATGAATTTTGGTAACTGCTTGAACCCAATTAGTGCAGCTACCAGTAAACCTACATGTATGGTAATTTGGGGGGATATGTACATGTACCGGTACTGGAAGAAAGCAGTTACATGGACATGTACAGTATATTCATGTATTATGCATGGTTGAAACCCCCCATCACAGGAGATTTGTACTACGTTCAGTTAGGAAATAGAATTGAAGAGTTTGTTTCCATAACGAGATACTATAATTATTACATCGTCTCTTGGTTACCTCCAGTGAGTCTCTAAGGGTTTTATTGAGTAAAAAAGTACTAAGTGAGGCAGACCAGTGAAAAATAATATTTAGAAAGACCTTATACCCTTTTTTGTTTTAAATATTCAATATTTGTGGAAAAGTTTGCACAATTTTTGAATGCGTACATGTACGTCTCATTTTGGAATGAAACCCTTCATTGTAAAACTTGATGTTTTAAAAAGGAAACTTTGTCAAAAACAGCAAATGAAGTGCACGTTGCAATCAGCTCTCGGGTTTTGTGACACCTGACATTTTGCGCTGGTGGCAAATATTTGTGTAATTATTCAGAAATAATATTTGTCCCTGCATTTTATACCACACACTGCAGTAATTGTATGGCTGGCACTGTGATCATGACTTGGTCTACACCGCCAAGACGCAAGCTGTGCGTGCACATGCACTTCCAGGTGTCTTGGGCATTGCTCAGCCTTCAGCGTGTATCAGTGGTTTTGATTACAATTTGCAATTATGGAAATCGAATTATGTTACACACCATTATCTGGAGGGACATAGCATCTGGAGAATCCTCAAGGTTTTGTGTAGCCCGGGGGAGAGGGGGAGACAGAGTGCACCATGGAAGTCACTAGCGTATTCCGTTTGAACATACAATAGAAATAGACCACAGGCAAGTTGAAGTATCGAGTTGCTGTTAGTGTACTTACGCATATATCGGAACCTTCACTGCTACCCTTTGGCTTGTGTCGGCACAGATAGAACTTTGGAGAGAGTTCGCAGGTTCTCAGGAAAAGAACCCGTGGACAGTCAGTGTGTACATGTATGTAACATTCTAAGCATTATTTTATCAGTTGGTGCTCGAGTGGCCGCTTCCAGGTTCAGCTGGCCAAGTTGAAATAAAATAGCCCCAGCTTCAGCTCAACCCACATTTCTTTCAGCCAAATACTGGCTCTGTACTTTGAAGTGCTGGTAGTTTTCTCTTGCCAGTTGCTCAAGATTATATGGCCATATTGCATACACTCACATTCTTCCACATTGGCAAAAGTGGTACTGGCTGAGACTTTTTTCTCTTTTTTTCTTTTTTTCTTTTTCTTACTGTACGTGTACATGCATGTACTTACAACTGAAGAATTTAATAAAGTGCCCCTCACTGTAGTATTTTGTTTCACGGTGATGAAGGTATCCTCTGCCGTCACCCAACATATGTGAAGGGTACATATACAGTACCTGCTCCACTGCCCTTGGCAGACTGAACATGGTTTACTTGTATCCAAAATACATGTACATGTACATGTACTGTACGTGGTTACATGTACATGTACATGTACATGTGTGTCTTCATTGAAGAACATGGTTGCATTCTTGGATGTGGGTAATTCCAGAAATTAGGGGTCCAATTTTTTTTTTGGTGTCCCTGTTGCATCTGACATGTGATTTTGTAAGTTCAGAACACATTTTCCGATTTCCAAGAGTGACGAATTAATGCAAATTATCTGCCAAACAAATATTTATAGCTTGAAATCAATTCTGGTGATATTTCCATGTCAATAACAAACGTCAGATGTAACAGGGCCACAAAATGTCACACTTGTGGACCCCTAGTTTCTGGAATTATCCATGTACATATGCCTACACGTACCGTAGATGCACTGTACACATACATTTCTGAAGACCCGGTCTGAAATTCAATTTCCAAGCAAGCATACACGTACGTAGACAAAGTTTTAGTATAAACGGCATGGTCAATCAGCATTTTTCCTTCAGAGAGTTTCTGTTCTATTTTTATTCACATACATGTGATCCATCCTATCCTAATCTCAGGACGACCTGCCTAGAGTCAAGACGGAGATCATGGCGATGAAGGAGCTTGTCCACCAGCACATTGCCACTCTCTACGAGGTGGTAGAGACCAAACACAAGATCTTCATGGTCATTGAGGTAAGACCTGCCAATCCTCTGAGCCAATTCAGTTTGCAAGTTGGTTTCTTTTTTTGGGGGGGTTCGTGAGTCGTTTTTTTTTTTTGAGCTGTGTTTCATGGAAATCAGGCGAATGCAGCAGGATCTCATGTAGTGACCTGTCCGTCTTATCTAGTGGCCTGTCCACTGGTCTTTGGGAGGACCTGGGTGGGAATTTGGATGGGCACTTTGCTGAAGAGACTATTAAAGATATTATGCAGATTTTGGCTGGAGTCATGAAGAATTACCTTTGGTTTGGTTTTTGGATTATGGTTTGGTTAATTTTTTTTCAAAGGTTTGTGAAACAAATTGCAGGCTTTGTTTCATGATTGAGATCTCCGATGCAAACAAGCACATTTTGGGAAATCTTAGATGAAACTGTGTTTTTTTCCCCAAAGAAGAAATTTCACAACCTTTAGGCACAGTACACGAATGCTCTTCATGACGTAATATTTCAGTATGTCAGCTTTATAATTGGGAAATGATTGTTCTGACAATGTGATTAAATGATCATCAAAAGAGATACGTGTACTAATTGATTGAATTTTTGTATTCTGTAACAAGCATGGTAATGCACCACCAGTGCGTATGTACAATATAGGACGGGGGGTGGGGAGAGTTATTGATTGACCTGTCATTATGGGCTCTTGCTGTGTATTAGGCAAAGTGTACCTCTCTCCTCTTTTTCTATTTCCCACTTTTGGTGCTTGCCTATATCGACCAAGCAAATTGAGGGGCACCGCTCTAATATCTCGACCGGAGCTTTGCAGTTTGTTCGGTGTCTGGCGGAGCCCAGAATAGCTGGCTACACAGGAAAACGGGGAAGTCGTGAATTTCAGGGTCTGTGTTTCCCATGGTGCCCTGGACTAATGCTTTGGAAAACAAGGGACGGACAGGCATTGTTTCTTTCGGAGGGGGAAGGAGTTCCGAAATTTTAAGAAATAAGGTTGAAGCTGGAATTGTAGAGGCTCTGATGTCGTGATGCTGGCAGGATCTTTCTTACATGTAACTCCAGGCTCTCCAACCTTCAAGTATTTTACAATTGAGTCGGCTTCAACCCATAAAACAATTAGAAGCAAGTTCCTTTATTTTTGCTTTTAAAATTAACTGTATGGATACATGTAGCTTTTCAATTCTGTCACTGAACAATGGAGCAGTACCCCTCTTTAAAAAAAATGCTCAAAAGAATGCCTTGTAAACCGCTTAAAATGTACAAAAACATGTACATATAAATTAATGCAAGGTACATGTAGTAGGTATGATTCTGTATCCAGGAATTTTGTTCCAAACAAGAAGTAATTAACATTGAAAATATTCACCATCACCCTTAAGCATGCCAGTACATTCTTCAAATGTTTTAGGTTATCCCTCTTTTTTTTTTTTCATTTATTTATTATTTGTTTATAAAAATGTTGGTCGTGACTGTCAACTTGGAATTTTGTAACATTACGCAGGTTACACACAGACATGTAGGTAATGGGCTATTTACAGTCGCCGTGGAGCATGTCACATCTGAGGAATGTGAGCCCGGCCGGCTACATCCCAGACTTCCTGGCCAACATGAAAACACTTTCAATGGCATACATTGTAAACATACATGTGCACTTCAGTACCATGTACAGGCTGCTTAGGCGAGACAAAAGTAGTCTGCATTGTATTTTCTTAGCATCTACAGTACATGTAAAAACAGGTCGGGTACAGCGTACAGTCGGTAGAGAATTCTTCCCACTGTTTTGACTACTGATTCAAACTACATGTAATAACAGCTAGAGAGGTCTGGGGCCAACTTCATAGAGCTGCTTAAGCACAGAATTTGCTGCAGCACGAAAAAAACCTTACCTAATAAATAAAGGTTACCAGCTCAAACTGTGTGATTGTCATGCTAACCAAAAGACAGGTAAATACCATTCCAAAATAATATACATGTACATTACTAGAAGGTTTGGCTGGTAACCTGCTTTGTCAAGCAAGGTTTTTTCAAGCTGAAACAAATTTTTCGTTTAAGCAGCGCTATGAAATTGGCCCCAGCTGGTGGTATTTGTTTCAAAGGAAATAAACCAATTACATGTAACTAGGCTTTCCAGTTCTGTGCAGAAGTTGTTTGAAACTCTTTTTGCATAACATTCAAACTACGATAGACACAAGTTTTTTTCTTCACTTTCAATTTCACATTTTCCCCCAATTTCCCTCTTCTCCCCCCCCCTCCCCCAGCCAAAGGTCGTGCCGTCAACATATGGTACATGCACATGTAGGTCAGGAAAGGGGTTAGCATGACTGATTTTTTTCCCCTTATGCTGTGAAATAAAATACCGTACACGTACATGTACTGGCACATGGACATGTACAATGCAAAGCACATGAGCCCATCACACGTAAATCCCCTCAAGTTCCATTCCAAACAGCCTGTCCATTATTGAAATGTTCTGATTAAATGGAGATCTGACTGCACCGTGAGCAAAGTTCTGAAACCCAAAAATATTTGTGCCACTCCCTGGGAAAACTACTTTCTGCACTACTTGAAAGCCTAGACTGGACTTCTGTCACCTACTGGTAGAGCTGGTTACATTTCTCGTGACACTTCTTGTGACATTTTAGGTCACAGTCCCATTTTTGCCCCCCAGTGACCTGTCAAACTGTCACTGGCCATCAGTGCAAAAGTACAAGAATAAATCAATCATTTTTTATTAAGTCTCGCACAGCTATCAGAACACTGAATAATAAACACCACCTCGAAATACTAAATGAAAAATACGACCCCCTGGAAAAAATGGACATTGTGAGGCAATTTAAACACATTTTAGTTCATCAGACACCACCTGGCTGAAAGTTGTGTAGAAACGGATAATGTCAAACACAGGGATAACCTTTATTCCAGCCTAACCTAATTTACATGCATTTTTTTTTTTTCTTTTTTGTAACCTTTCCAGTACTGCCCCGGTGGTGAGTTGTTTGATTACATCGTCGCCAAAGACAGACTGAAGGAGTCGGAGGCCAGGAAATTCTTCCGGCAGATCTTGTCGGCAGTGGCGTACATACACCACAAAGGCTATGCACACAGGGACCTGAAGCCGGTAAGATGTGTCTGAATCATAGCCGGTCTGTGAAAGTAATGAAAACATTCTTGAAATCGAGCCATGACTGTTTGGCAGAGATTTGAATGAATGCGCAATTCCACTTTTCCTAATTTTTTTGGGGGGGGTTAAGAAAAACCAGCTCAAACGCAAATTTAATTGAGCCTGACCAGGTTGGAGTAATGACTAATTTATTTTCTTCATACAGTCTTAAAAATGTACGCATTTTGCCGTCGGGTCCAGCTGCAATTGAAGAACAACTGCATGGAGGCAGAGAAAGGAATTGTATTTTTGAAGAGAGATGTAACATACCTCGCAACGATTTCAGTAACACTGAAGATGCATTACACACGTACATGTGCCTGAGTTTGATTTTGCATGTGCTTCAAAACACAAAGATTTCAACATGCACATCAGCTTCTGGTAAATGGCTGCAAGTCGACCGAAAAAACCGTAGCCTGACAAAGTAAAATCTATGAGTGATGACATGCTCTTTTTTAGGGGACAGAGGCACTTTCTCTTTCGGTGGGAAACGTTTCCTTTTGTCCGCTTGCGTCAGAATTTAATCAGAGTGAAAGAGGTCGGTTAATCCTCTCAGGAACGTCAGGCGAACCACCGCGTGCGTCGTTCGCAACATCTGTTTTTGTTGACAGCCTGCGACGGTGCCAAGAAGGGTGAATGAAATAGCTTGTGGACGACGGTGCCTCTCCCCCTCGGTGCAGCTTAATAGCTAAACCTCATTTCTGTCACCACTGATGTCTGTCTTCCACCTTCGTTCCCCACCCCCCCCCAAGTTGTATTCATCACTAATGTAATGTGCATAGAACCATACGTGTTCTGACAAATTTCTTTTTAATTTGTCACACATTTGTACACTACAACTGAATGATGACATTCATATGGCTTGGTTAGCCAAACCTGCTCCAAAATTTTTTCTTCTTTTCTGTGTTTCCTTTAGTTGTAAATTTTCTTCTTTTTTTAAAAACAAAAACTGTTATTTTCATTATTGTTGTTATTATTTGGGAATTGTTTTCCCACCCACGTGTACACAAACTATTACACACCCGACAACCTTGCATCTATTGTTTTGTTGCGTAAATGTATAGAACCACTAATTAAGTGTTCAGGCTGTTTCTCTGTTGGGTTTCAAATGTGGGGAGGTTCAAACTTACTAAACATTGTAATGTACACGTACACTGTATGTACCACACTGATACATGTCCATAGAGAGAATTGAAATTATGACGGGGGGAGGGACAGCTTCCACCCTTGATTAAAATACGGTAGCATCTGCGGCTATGACAGCAGCATCATTACTTCCAAATCACCTGAGTCCTTACTGCAGTCGTACCGGACATTTGCATTTTCTGGTGCTCGTGTAGAAACTACCAGAATCCTTCCAGTTCTGTATACAAGGCATGTACCGATAATTCTCATAAAATCCATGTTTACTCCCCTTAAGACATGTGCAATTTCATGCACTCCCAAAATGTGTCCCCAAATGGTAAGTTCTCCTCTGCAGAGTGCCCTGGAGGTCAGCGTGATGCCCCATGCCGGGGATGATTGATGCTTTGTGGGCCACTCTGGCATACTACAGCTTCCTTGCCTCCGCACCACGCAGGCGCAGCTGATGAAGATGCGCTCGACGTTTCCCCTGCTCATCCCCCTCCCTTTTTGTTTAGCCTGAGACTTTTTGGTGACTCAGCACTCCGTCCTGGTTGTCTTCCTGTTTGGCTCATGCCCCTTCTCGCGTTACCTTTCGAAGTCGACGAGTTACACTGACGCCAGCGAATAAAGTGCAGGGTTACCTTGGCTTGGCATTTTAGAAGTAACCCCATCTATTGATTATTCTTTAACGATCCCTTTCCTTCCCCGCTGTCCAGCCAGGATGGCATACATGTACTCACGATTCACAATTTGCTCTAAAAGTCCCTGTGATACTGCCACCAGGCCTCAAGTTCCAATACCATTAATGTATAAATTTACCACTAATGGTGTCCTTGAAGTTTTTAGAATTGTAAATACGTGTACATGTATCTGAGGTTTGTCTGTGGCATACTTCCAATCATCATGGTTTAACCCAAGCAGCAACCAATCCTTAAGTCCTTCCATCCTTTTTTTTTTCATCTTTCCCCTGTTCAAGTCCAGTTCTGAGCCAGACTACACGGCATACCACTAAACCCACTGAGATTTTGCCTTCAGCACCCGATAGGCAATCTTACAGCTTACGTCGCCACTATATCTGCCTGGCTCCAGTTTCATATGTCAGAGTTCGATCAGGGCAAACCGGTCGCAAGATAACACTTTCTGCCAAGAGTCCTACGCTCATTTTTATTAATTATTTATATTCATTTTTTTCAACGGGCAGACAAGGGCACTGTTCCCCCCCCCCATGGAAGAATTTCTTGCTTAATTCCCCCTTCCCTTTGGGTATCAAGCGGGTAATTATTTGGCCAGTGCCTGGCAGGTGGGACCAGGGAGGCCACTTAAGGTGTCAGCTTCCCTCGAGGAAGGCGTGTCTTCTTACCAGTGAGCGTGGCAAACTCTTCATCAGAGCTCGGCTCTCGTCAAGGCTATGTGGGATCGTATTACCACAACCTTAATCTTGGCAGCTTTTTTTTTTTTTTTTTTTTGCTCATTGGGCCGTGTCATGAACGAGCAAAGGTTGCCCATGGTACCACAGGTTACATTTACACGCAGCAGGTCCTGTGACTGAAAAGTGATGTGTTGTCAAGTGTTATGGGAAATTTTTTTTTATCATTTTTCCCTTCAGTGGATTCTTTTATTTATCCAGCTGTTACTGAGTGGAGGTGTTACAACAGTTTTTCCCCTTTTTTCCTCCTTTATATCAACTGTGATACATTCCATTTTCATTTTTTAAACGCGTGTATATTAAATATAAGTTGCAGGCACAGTTGAATCCACACTGCCCACAATTTTTATCCCTTTGTTGTTTTAGCCTTGTGGTTGTCCCTTAAAAAAACAAATCTGAGATTTGCCAAGGGTTTGTTATTGTTGAACACATTTTTGAAACATGGAGTCACTCTTTGTATGATTTTTTTAAAAACACCAGTCACCACAGATGCCCCAACACCTACATGTACATGTATTGAGATGTTCATTCTGTTTGGAGTTGCTGAATCACTTCCATTGGTTTCCCATTGGTGGTGGTGTCCGAAAAACTCTCTACTTTCTAAGTTGATTGGTGGAAATTTGTAAACTCTGGTTTTTCTTCAAATTTACCAAAAAAAAAAATCCCTTAAGCTTCTGCATTTCTCTCACTGATGTCATCTGCCCCCTACTTTTTTCCTTGGGATTTTGTTTCACCATTAAGGCTGCTTATGAGTGGTTTTGATTGGCGCTCATGTGGAAAGAAGGAGGTGCTAAAATTAGACGTGATTGCGTCACTGCCTTGGAAGAAACCTTTGTGTGCTGTTTTCTTGTGAACCGTTGACATTTCCAAGCGGCTCAGGCAGAACATTAGAAAAACAGCAATGGGCTCGTAAATGCCTGCACCACTGATGAACTCCAATCAATAGGTGTTTGCCCGCGGACCTGCACAGATTGTTGGAATCCTCCTGCCATGCGATAGTAATTGTTGTTTACCACTTACAAATTTCAGTAGATCGCTATACTTATCAGGTGTGCACGTCATTGTTTACGTACATGTATGCCAACGCCACAACTCACCACGTGCTACAAATACGTAAATGTTGTAAGAGGAATCCTAAAAATGTGTACATGTTCATGTGTTCCACGTAAAACTTCACTTTCAGCGTCGTCCACAAACATGTACATGTACACGCACATGAACAATGTATGGGCTGAAATCTAATAGGCTTTTAATAGTTGGCATTTTCAACTACCCATAATCTACTTTTAAGCTACATGTACATGCAATTTTCTGAACAGGTATGCATACATTATACGAAGGCATACAGGTACCATATTCTTTTGAAATGACGCCATTGAAAATGCCGGGGTTTTAAAATACTGAGTTTTTCTTGAATGAGTTCTGTATGCAATGCTATACAGTGCTATGCATCACTTTGTTTCTCCAACCCCCCCAAAAATAATCATTTCATCTGATGGATGTCACCCTCAAACCTTGTCTCCCTACAGTGTACGTGGAATCAGCATGTGGGATATGCTTGTATTTGTATTACTTGAATACCAGTAGGCAATATTACTTGAATAATAAGTTAAAATTAGCCCCTTTTTGGTGTTGAATTTGAAAACCAAAGCCACTACCGTATTTGGTTAAACCGTGGTTAAAGTGAAAAGTGAAAATAACCCCTTTTTGGTGTTGAATTTGAAAACCAAAGCCACTACTGTATTTGGTTAAACCGTGGTTAAAGTCTGCAAGGCCCTGTATTCCAATTAACATATCATTACACATGTATGTAGAACAGAGTACCGGTAGGCAATATATTGGTAGAGAGAAAAGTTTATATCCTTTGGGCAAATATACGAGGTATACAGCTGTGGCTTACTTGCCCCAATAATACACGCATGTGTCATACATACATGAATGTATAAGTAAGCATTTTACATTAATGTTGATTCATGGCTTAGTCATTTACCAGCATCACTGACTGTATACATAGGCAGCTGCAGGTGTGTATGTGATTGATTTACTGTGCGAGGATGCGTGGTGAATCAATCATGTCACGGCTTTTTTTTTTTTTTATTCCAGGAAAATCTTCTCCTGGACGAGGACCAGAACCTCAAGCTGATCGACTTCGGACTGGCCGCCAGACCTAAGGTATGTTGCCCTGATCTGCAGATGAGCAGGTATCAGACTATTTCTGTCCAGCACTATCACACGCTGGAAGGCTGACTCATATTATGCACTCGATTGGAAAAGGCTAGTGATATGACTTTTCTGCAAGGTTCAGAAGTTCCCAATCCCCAACTACAGGACAAGAAGTTTGAAGACAAAGTAAATTTACGTTTCCCTCACTCAACGTACTGGTATGATACCTGCTTGAATTTTGGTTAAATGTCTGAAAAGAAAAATCTTCAAGTTCTTCCATTGCTGCTTAGAAAATCGGGCTTGGCAAATTTTGGCCGGAGCAAAAGAATAGCTGAATACCAGTCAACCAGTATACCCACCATGGCATTTTAGCTCGTCAACTTTTTTAATCTTAGCCAATACTTTATGTGGTTATCAAATTTATGAGCGCAGAAGTGCCACAAACTCGGCCAGTTTTTGTTAGTAGCAGTAAAAATACATTTGAAGAATTTGATTGAGTCCCTTCTTCCAAATTGGGACCCAAACGAAATGCACAGATTTATTTGTTTATTTTTTGTAAATTTTATGAGGCCATTCTAAGGGGAAGTCCCTTTTTCTTGTCATTCGGGGCTGCACAAGTCACATTCCCCATTGATTTAATCCCCGCCTGCATCTTCCGGACAAGCTTGGCATTTTGTCCCAGGGTCAGCAAAGCGCCCCGGTCTGTAGGCCAGTACAGGGTCTGAAATTATCATCCATCTAATTTTACCCTGAGAGTCCGTCAGATAGAGGGCACCCTCTGAGCGGTAGGAAAATTATCGCCGGCAGATGTACATTGGAGATCCTTGTTCTTCCTTAAAGCTTATTTCATTTGTGGCGTGAAGATCAGTGTAAAAATGCTGCACGTGCATACATTTTTGTATTTTGACAAGAGGGTACTCTCTTGTCCTGTGAATTTTTAAAGGTACATGTAGTACGGACTACACATTTTCAGCATTTTCGTGACCCAACTCAGCGAAATGAGTTGCAACCTGTCAGAACCGCAGAAAACTGCCTTTGGAAGAATCTTGCTAAAAGATCAATACGACCCCATGGCATTTTTCATAAGATGTGCTGCCGATGCCGAATTAACCTGGTACATTTCTCTGCCACCATTTTTGCAAATCACCCACGAGTCACAAAGAAGAATCATCTGCCTCACTGCCAAACTGAGCACAGATGCTGGGTTTCTGTGCATTTTTTGTACAAGGTGGACAAGCATGCTGGACATAAATTTGCCCTCCAAGGGAAAATTATGATACACTCACCATGCCTCTTCTACATAACTTGGGAAATACCAGGTTTGCCTTCTCACCGATAGTGACGTGGTGCCCATGTTGTCAGCATTACTCCCCCCCCCAGTTTTTTCCCGGACGGCTGTGGCAAAAAAAACAAACAGAGAGGCCATTACCAGCAAACAACACGGCGATCATTACACGGCACCTTCAAGGATAATATATCCGAGACACTTAATTTTTTTTAGAAATGTCACAGTTGGCAGTATATTGGAGACCAAAAAGAGAAAGGCGTCCTTTGTTTACGGCCGTCGTGCGTGAGGTGTGAGTGAGAGAGCCAAATAGTCTGAAGGACAGCGGCGTGAGCAGCGAAGAAGGCGATATATATATCACCAATTGAATAAACAACTGCCCACATATAAATTGTGCTAGCATCATAAACTCGGAGAGTAAACAGGCTGCAGGGAACTGTCTTTTTTAACAGTTGCATCAGACATGTAAGTCTGCGCTCTCCTGAATATACATGTATACCATAGTACATCCAAGCTGTCTTGGATGTGTGGCATACTCACGAGGGTTCTACCTGAGAACATATCTCATTTGTCACTTCCTTGTTTACCTACGTCTTTATGCAATTCAGGCTGGCACTTTGGGTGCTTATAAAACAAAAGGGACAAGCTGTGAGGGTTTTTTTTTTCACACTTACATGTATCATGTTTAAATTCCAGGTAGTCCCTACATAAAACAAAAGTATTTATAAAATAAACTTGTAAAACCAATTACCCAGCAAATGTACTGTCCTTGGGAATTTTAATAATGTTGAGTAAATACGAACAGATTTACAACGATGAAACACTAAAATGTTTTTTCTAAACTCCCGTGTCTGTCCAATGTACATGTATGTGTACACTGAAATTGAAATCTACTGCACTTGGTCTACACCGACTTGGATGTTGTGGCAGTGAAGTACGGCATTGTTTTCCACCAGATACTGGAACATGTAGTTTGTAGTTTGTTGTCCAACTTGAAATTTGTCCCCCCTACCAAAAACATAAATAATAAATAAACATTGGCACTTTGCCCATCTCAAAGGCAATGATCTTAATGCGTGAAGATACGACGTCATAGCTGACTTAATGGCTGATTGACGTCACCTCAGATTTGAGTAAGAAAGGTTTGCTTTTACTGCACATAATGCGGGAGTTACTGTCGGGAATCAAGTTGTCTCTCAGGTGGATTCAAGGCACGAATAGTGCAACCTCGTTTGCTGCCACGAGTCGAAACCAGCATTGGTAGAGGGGGGTGAGTGTGTATAGATGTGTGTGTGAGTGCACGTGCATGCACATACATGTACATGCGTGGGCGTGCAGGTCGGGCACTGCACGTGCAACCAGCCCTGACTGCAGCTGCTCTTCCCTGTCGAGAACCGGGCTGAATAATTCATCCCTGAGACCCAGTGGTCTCCCGCTAATGAGTGCCGTAACCACTCAGGCTTATCTGGTAATATTTATCTTATCCATTTGGCCATTAATGAATTGAGCCCAGGTAAATTGTAGCCCGTCAGTGTCGTGAGAGTGCAATTGATGCGTCAGATGTGCCTAATTGAAGTTGCCGCAAGTGAGCCACATCGATGCACCTGTACATAGCAGCGCATTTATGTAAATATCACAGACATATAGGAGTGCAGTAAATGTTCACCAGTGGACACAAAACATGACCCACCCTTCAAAATTACCTGTACATGTACCCGGTACCTGCTCTTGTACTGTGTATGAGCGCTAATCCACAATTCTACATTCACATAATGTATGACTAGTACTTGAGCATGATAATTCAGCAGTTTCTGGTGGGAAAACGAGACAAGCAATCGTGATCATTTCAACAGAATGACGGAACAATCTGCAATGTTAACTTGTGTGCGTCTGTGGTGGGGCCGTTTTGTACCAGTAGTTAGTATTTTGGAAGGGGGCATTGTCCAGTGTTTTGTCCACAGTTTTGCATGACATCCTTTTGACTCTATCCAAAATGGGGATTAGAATGCATGCTGCAAGGTTCACCTCTTCGGTCGAGTGGAACTGATAATGTATTCACTTTTCACATGCTGATTTTTTTGTGTGTGTATGTCAACATGGATAAACTTTCCATTGAGGTTTGAATTTTTTTGTCCGACGTGAACATATGTACATGCACCAGAACCATTATAAAATACCTGGGCTGAGTGAAGCCTGAGCGTTCAATATGCCTTTGGCCCTTTCTTGATGACAAAATTTTTTTTTAAATTTTTTTTTTGGCATTTTTGTTTTATTGCCAGCTTTAATCATCAGTAGGGCTTATTTGACGACTTGAGTGGGTGGTGGTGGACATCAGTAACTAAAAAGTTTTGCGGTCATCACTCGGCCGAAAGCTACATGCACGTCGTGCGTTTTGTGTGTGTGTGTGACATCGCTTTGCAATCTTTTCAAAGAAGTGTGGATTAAGAGGAGTCGTTACTGCCTTCATGCACCCAAATTTTGATTTTAAAATTTAGCATGGCAGCAACACTGTTTGGAACCATTCAACTTCGCAACAGCAGTGCCTTTTGGCTTGATAATGTCTGCCGTGTTGTCACAGTCTCGAAAGACAGCAGCACGGCAAATTCAATCCCAATGTTTGTCCTTCTCAAGTTTGAAATTTTCGGCTGGTACTATGGTCTAAAATTTGCAGTGAAAGAAGTAGGAGGGGTCACGTCACATGCAAATTAGGATCTCCTATGGTTATCGTAAAGTAACATCTGATTGGAAACAGCATAGTGTACTTTGAGTAAAAAGTACTCTCCTTGTATTTCGCGTGCGTGCAGGGTGGCATGGATCAGCATCTGGACACGTGCTGTGGGAGTCCGGCCTACGCAGCACCAGAGCTCGTCTCGGGGAAGCAGTACCGCGGAGCAGAGGTAAGCTGGCTGAGTGTCTCACTATGTATGCACTGTATGTGCAATATGGAATTGGTTAGGTTGGAATGAGTATGGTTCGCTAGGCAGCTTTGTCACCTATGTGTAGTTGGGTTGGAATGCCTCACTGATTGTGGTTAGCTAGGGATCTTTGTCATTTAGTTTGATTGAAATGCGTCACTGATTATTGTAATAGCTAGGGATCTGTGTCAATTAGTTTGATTGAAATGCCTCACTGATTATGGTAAGCTGAGGTGTTTTGTCAAATTAGTTGGGTTTCAATGTTTCCTTGATTATGGTTATCTAGGCATCACCGACACAAGGCTTTGCCATTTTAGGGACAGACAAAAGTATTCATCTTCAAGAAATCTTGAATCCTTGATTCTGATTGGTCATTGCATGGCAATAGACAGTACTGTATACCACAGTCCATAATGCACTCCACATATTGAACTCTTCCATTACCAAAGCAGTTCCCCATACATGAAGCAGTTCAAAGCTTTTCAGCCATCATTTAATTCAAGAGGACATAAATTCACTATCCCGGTAGTGTTTGTGGAACACAGAATAATGAAGCGTGTCATGCTATTTGGCCTTCAACCAAGTGCTGAAATAGCGTTTTGGTTCATGTAACTTTCTGTGGTCATGTTCATATTCCTGTGACACTGACCCATGTTGCAGAAGATTTCAACGATTTCAATTTGATATGGTCCATTGTGGTTTCTTCAGTAAACTTCTCCCATCAAGGGCCGTCCTCAGTTGGATCCGTGTCGTCGATTTTAAAAGAATGTTCCGCAAGTGAGTTCCCCATGTGCCGCACATGCATGCACATGAGTTATTTGCAGTATGCAGATGTCTGTAAACTAGGCACTGTTGCTGCGTTCCCTGTGTCTCATGCGTCCGACAGCTACCCTCTTGCATCATCTTCTGTTGAATTTTTTTTTCCTCAGGCTGATATTTGGAGCATGGGCGTGCTCCTCTACGCCCTCCTGTGCGGCTTCCTCCCCTTTGACGATGACCATGTGGCCACCCTCTACAAGAAGATCTTGAAGGGGGAGTACGAGGAACCCCGGTGGCTGTCGGACAGCAGCTGTGACCTGCTGAAGCAGATGCTGCAAGTGAGTGATAGTTGCTGGGAACCGGGCGAGTCCACCATTTTGTGCACGCAGGATTCTCAGCGTCATGGAATATCCTGGGAGACAAAGTTGTCCTGGAAAATCGTGGAAAACTAGAGAGTAAAAAATAAGATGTCCTGGAATCCGATTGTAGGGGAGAAAAAAAAAACCATGGAAACATCATGGAAATAAAGATCAAGCAATGTTTATTATTTGATGGGCTGCTTTTGGATGTTACAATGGAATAAAGTTAAATTTACAGCTTACATTTATATCCTTTTCAGTCAATGAGAGGGCGGTACTAGTCTTCAAGGTTACAGTACCAAAGAACATTTATTGTGTTAATGTCATACTTTAGGAACAGACAGGAGTAAAATTTAACAGCGAGTAGAAAAGTAAATAATTTAAAAAGTAAGGTATGGTGTAATGTAAATGGTGCAGTGATATGCTGGTACGTGTACATGTACATATGCAGAAGCCAGGACCTTTACACACATGGCCACAGACAAGACAAACATAGATGTACAAACAAGTGACAAGAAAAAAAAAATGAATGAAAAATGAAAATGAAAAAGCAGACTGCGAAAGAAAAAAGTAACAAATGAAACAGTGTGGTGTATTCTATGAGAGATTGGGCAGCCTTGTTGACCTGTTGTGCATGATGAAGTGACACGTTTAATCCCGAGGTTTATTTGTCTTACCCGCAGATTAACCCCAAGAAAAGAATCACCATGGAAGAGTTGCTGAGCCATCACTGGGTAAAAAAGGGGCACAGCGGGACCGTGCACTGGCACTCGAAATGCGAGGTAAGACCTTGCGCAAGGTAGATCAGTCAGGACCCTCAACAAACTCATGCACATAATGAATTATATTCATCTGGATGCCGTGCCCAGTGGTATGTGTGGATTAAAACAAAGAGCTCAATTTGTTCAATCTATTACAAACTAAAATGATGTAGTGCCAAAAGTAGTGCCAAAAAAACCCACTCATTTCCTGGGGCCTAGTTACATCCATGTATGTCAGTTGTTAGCCTTTTACCTCCAAAATCTCTGAAGCGACTTCAAACTCCATACCCTTTGCATCATAGGCAACAGATTTGGTGCAAGTTCAAAATGTACTTCAAGCTCACAAAACACCCTCCACCAAATGACATTATTTAGGCCCACGTCAGTTCTATCGCGCTGATTACATTTGAAGTCCCTCTGGGCTACTCGGGGCGGCAGGGTTTGATGTGGGCACTGCGCAAATTACGTTTGATCAACCGTTTCTTTATGGCGTCTAAGCGGGCAATCAAAAGTACATGTAAAGGACAAAGCTGTCAAGGTTGTCCCTGCCATGAACTACCCCTTGCCCTAATGGCCACCTATCAGATAATCTTAACTCAATTTAGGCCGGTTCATTCACCTACGCATATGCATGTATGTAGTGTTACAAGGTTTGGTGGCTTTCTGCTTGCATAATGCATACATCGGTAGATGCTTTTGAACTCAAGGCCTCTGGCATGAGCCGGAGGGAATTACTGTAATTTTTGGAAATTTGTTGATTGGCAGCTGCCAACACGTGGCCTTGGTCGTGTGCATGAGATCTTTTAGTTCAGCAATGAAGGTGTGGACCACATGGTGTGTTGGATATATAATGCATATACATGTAAATTATGCCTTTATTTAAAGGTGCAGTCCTTCATTTGTCATCTGTGCATTGTGTTCCTTGAAGACCCGAAAAAGTGCTCAAAATGTGAGAAAGGGTGCCCAACTACATCACTTGATAAAGTTTCTCCTGAGAAAATGGATGTGTTTCAAGAAAAAGGATCTACTTGTAAATCAGACCTTGCGGAGTCATGTCTTGAATTGCGCTACATTCAGCGTCAGGGACGTGTTCTCATGGAGCTGAATGTAACCATGTGATGTCGTGCTCTGAACCAATGAATGATTGTACATGTACCTGGACATGAAGCCGCATGCACCGGTGCTTTGTGTCAATGCTTGCATGCTTTGCCGCATTTATAATGAATTACTGGCAGCAATTTCCAAAAAATGCATCTTTAGAGGCATTCTTTGGAATGGCCGTCTTTCATTATTTTCTTCAGAATGACAGCTTGCCAGAAAGAATAATTATCACGGGGAGTTTATTCCCGTAATCGTCTTTAAACCAAGTGTGCTTTTCAACAATAATTTCATCAGTTAACTTTTGAACAACCGCGATTGATGGACTCTACCTTTAATGAGCCATGGGACGGTGTATTGTAAGTGATGTGGGAATGAGAGTCAACGGTGCAGTCATATTCCCTTGGCTGCCGTGAAGTCTCCCGGCTATTGAGTACTTCATTAAGCAATTTACTGGTGAATGACTCCATTAGTTTGGCATTGATGTTTTCGGTGTCATCTGTCAAATGATGGGAACCAGGTACAGAATGTCTCACCGGTACTCTGACAGGACATGTACGTTTCCTATACCTGCAGATGTGTACTTGAGAACAAACCTGTGTTCCCGCATTTTTAATACTAAAAACCAATTGGCTCGAATGGTCAGGAAAATTTTGTGTTTAGGATTTGCTTGAGATATCTTTGAAATCCACCATAAGACATATAGTGGAATCTGAGATCGAGCATTTCATTTTACAAAGCCAGCAAGGAAGATTTTATGTTTTATTTATTCCTATATGTTTTATCTCTTTTCTATTGGATACCCATTGAATGCTTAGTTTGACATGCATTTAAATTTTTTTCATTTATTATCTTTTTTTTTTTCAGAAGAGTAGCCTGAATACAGAGTGTATTGCTGAAATGGCTGAATACTACGGCAAGACAAAAGACGACATGATGACCATTGTCACACAGGTAAACATCCATACATGTAGTCTTTCATGTTACAACCTGCTCATAAGACGTCTGCCGGACTGCATGAGATACTGTTATACGTTCATTCCCCACTCACCCCCCCCTCCCCCAAAAAATTTAAAATGTGAGTGTACGTCAGTGTCGTAACTGTCTCCTTGGTTACTGCACATATTTGTGTTTTTTATTTGTCTCAAACTTACTATTACCTCCTGCAAAACAAAAGAAAAAAAACCAGTGTGCTTGGGAAGGTTCCTCGTAGTTTTGTATATTTATATTTTCAAATGGAAATCAAAACAATTGTGGTTTCAATACCAATGTAAAATCAGTCACTTTTCTTCAGCCTTTATACTGAGTGCATATTTTCATATTTCTTTATTGGCAATTACATGTAGTTGTAATCTTTAATATGGAGGGACTGGTGTCAGGCCCTCCATATTTTGTGATTTGTATATAAGGTCATTGTAGCCAGTAAGCAGTTTGCAGCAGTTTGTATTACATAACGTTGAAATTCGCAGTTAGTTATGTTAAGTTTTCGAGGCCTAGGCTACGTGTTGTGCTCTAGCCGCGCCACATTCAAATGATTTGATTTTCTAAAGTTCTAAATAGCAATAGATCGGCATTTATCGCCAATTTGGCATGGCAGACCTTCAGATCGACAGAGTATAATGCGCTATCAGTGTGCTGATCGGCAGTGGCACGACACTGCTCTTTTAAGTTCTGCGTTTAGCGCAACATGCCGCGCTTTTGCCGTGCTACAGCCATGCTCATTTTAATCAAGGTCGACACAGAAGTGGCATGGCATATGCATGTACATACACCTGTAGCCTAGGCCTAATACACACATGTACATGCAAACAGCTTCATGTTCACTGTTTCATCTCTTATTGCTATCAGTGTGACCCACATGTAGATATATGTGGCTGTATCATGTTAATTCTTGGCCAAAGATAGTTTGCAGATGGAAATCCACGTCTGTGACTCAACCCAACGAAATAGGTCCCTGGTCCCCATGAGCTGTTTTTGACTTTGGCCTTTCAAAAGACCTTCCTCATCATGAATCAGTGGGAACGCTCCACTTTTTCACCAACGTCATTTCAACGTGCCTCAGGATGCCGAGCCTAGGATTTGTCAATACAGGGAGCTCGGCTCGCTCTTTATAATGCAAGCTATGTTTCAAACAGAATTACTGAAAAATGGCCTTTGTACGACTCATTTTGATGGGTCGTGTCAAGTGTCCTTTGTACTAGTTACGGGGGGGGCGGTGTTTGGCTTTTCCCCACTTTAATCCTGGAAATTTTCTTAGAGATTATTAGCCACTTGGTGACTTGAGGCAGTGTTTAATTCGTCGGAGGTAGCTCTTGAGATTTCCTGGATAACTTGAAGTGACTGTATTAAAATTCTCTTCCCTGTTCCTTTTTTTTTAATTTGGAAAATTTATCAAATAACATTTCTGCGAATTTGCATTCTCGGGAAATTGGAGTGGAAGCAGATTTCCACCGCGTTTTTTTTTTTTGGCCTTCTGTGAGAATGCTGCCCAAGGTAGGATGCTGCTCCGGCATGATTCGCTGCGTCTTACCTCCTTCACCTAAGGTACTGGTAGGCGTATACATGTCGGCTGCAACGTTGGACAGTTAATGCAGTTAATGGCAGGGCGGGCATTACACAGTGGACTGTGACTGGAAGCACGAATTACCCTATTAGATTAGTCTGACGGAGTCGGAGAGGAAGAGAAAAAATTATCCCAACGCCCGCGACCAAGCGCCTGGCTGTGTGACGGGATCTTGATTGAATCATGTGCGACAGTGGTGTAGCTTAAAGGTATGTCTCCATCAGAAGGAAAACGCCCAGGGCTGTTGGACTTCTTTCTTGGGAGAACTTGTCGAGCGCCCCCCCCCGAAAGAAGACATATTAAATTCACGAAGCATTTATCTCTGCAGGTAGGACGGTGATTATGAGTTAAGATAGTGGTGTTTTGTCAACTGGAGGAGAAAGGGAGACAGGGCAGAGATAAAAATGACGTAATGAAGTTGGAGATCCGTGAGGGCTTGTGTCCTGGATGGTGCACACTGGCTCTGAGTCTTGCAAAGCAGCCTCCTCTTGTTTTACTTCCAAAAAAAGAGCAAGCTGTGTTGATGTGGGTGTATTAAATAGAACATCATACCTTGAGTCAAGATCTCTCAGCTGTGGATTAATAGTAAGCGACTGCACAGCGGGGGAGACCTACTGGATAAAACTCTGGCCGATTATCTGCTGAAGTGAGCTCTGAGAACTTGCAGCCATGCGCCTCGGCAAACTTGCTGTTTGCAACACAAGTGTGGGACTCCAGTGCCTTTTGCACTTCACACAGAGACATTTACATGTATACGGCAGCCCCCTTGTGACTATCAACAGGCAGCGAGTGCATAGCCAGAAAAAAAAAATCTCCAAGGAAGCCAGATTAAGTGCTCATTCCGGGCTCGTTCTTCACCTGTCTTTCGCGACAACTCCATTCCATGCACCTGTCCGGGCATCAAAATGGAATATCTCCAAATCTGATGGCAATTGCCATCTGCAGCGTATGTGCCATCTTAGATTTTAAAGGAACAGATGAATAGAACACTGATTCCCGTCTGACCCTTTGCCAAAAAAAACCAAAACCTGCCTAGCTTTCACTTAACATGTTGTGAATTGTGTCCATAAGGGCTTCCCCCCCCCCAAAAAAAAATTGTTGTAAGTGGGGTCTTAATTGTACTCACTGTAGCATCTATGAAAGGTTCCATAGGTTGCATCTTTGTGCTTTGCAGTAGGCAGATTGGCCAATTTCCTTTGCGTCCCCTCCCCTTTCCACAGTCCGTTTTCTGCTTTCTTCCCTGCCCCCCAGCATTTTTTTTTTTTAAATTTCTCCTTTTGACAAGTACATTACCCCCTCCCCCGATGATTTGAAATGTTCATTCTAATTTTCTCTGCGGCATCCCATCCCAATTTGTTCCTTTTTTTTATGTTGATTTGTGTTCGCTTGCATTTAAATTCTTGTTGCAGTGGCGCTACGACGAAATCACGGCCGTTTACTTTTTACTCGTGAACAACTTCGTTAGAGGCTGTAAGCTGAAACTACCTCCAAGAAGTAAACCATTTGGGGACAAGGTAAAGAAAACAAAACAAGCAAAGGCAATTACAAGATATAGATTTAATTATATGTACAAATTGTCAGCTACAACCAAAAAAATCTACGGGAAATTTTCCAGAAGTGGGAGTTTTCTGCATTGGTGAATTCCTCATTTCTCTGAATACCAATGTCTCAGGTGCCGTTCCCGTTGAGGGCGCTTTTGTAGATTTACTTGCGGCCCCAGTTGGATTGCATGGATTCCCCTCTTTCCATTATTACCCTCCCTCTGTCATGTCTCCACTCGGAGCCTCGCCTCCAAGGAGAATTGGACAGAAAGCCTGCAAAATGCATGGAGCACATACAACACAAGGAGGATGATGTGAATGTTCATGTACATGTAGTAGTGTGCCAGAGTTCTGGATCATCCAGTAGCCCATTGGCTTTTTGAGAAGTCAAAACCCTCAAGTGGGGTTGCTTTTATGAACATTGGTTTGCGATAAGTCAATAGAGCTATATACCCTTTGCAAGTTTCTTCACTTCATTCAGCCTACAACGGCTGTCAGATATTGCCACTGACCCAAGGGATGTGAAAACTGTATGTTTGGTGTCCTTTGTCTGTTTTTGTTCATTTTGGGCAAATCGCATTGTTTGCCGTCAAGAAGATTAGTAGCACCACTCTCTCAATAGCTATCACAATTGAAAGCAATCTTAAAAACGTGGTGCATTAGTTCTTGGAACACAGTTTAACAGTTGTGTTTCATATCTTCTATTGTTAGTAATAATTGGCACATTTATCTTTCTTCCAGGGTCACAATGCAAGTTTATCGACCAATGACCACCATCGCCGTCGTCATGCCCACAACCACCTGCACCCCACCCACCTGGAACCTCCCACCAGCTCTCCCTTTAAATTCTCCTCCATGGAGGAGGGACTCGAGAACATTGAGGCGTACCGAAGCTCCACCCGACACCAGGACCGCCGGCACTCGGCCGACGTGGCCCACGCCCTCCGACAGGCCTCCCACAATACCGTGCTGCAGGTGGAGGGCACCTTTGTCACGCCCCGCAATCCCGACCCACCCTCCCCCAGCACGGCCAAGCGCACCGTCCCCGGGAAGGAGAATGGCCAGCCCAGTGACTTTGACGATTTCGTCAAGCCCGAGGGGCTGCCCCTGAGAACACCCGTCCGGCACCGCAGCAAGAGCGACGCCCGGGAGAGTGGGCGGAAACGCAGGGAGGGCAAGGTGGCCTCAGATGTCAAGACACCAGTTGTGCCAACGTTATCTTTGCCAGTTCCCCATGTGACGCCGTCAAGGTCGACAGAACATAATTTACACTTGCTGCACATAGACCATCTGAGTCCTGATAAGAGGTGGGCAGGCAATTCACAGCTCTGTCACGGTATTTTCACCATCTGTGTAGGTGGGCATCATGGGAACGATTTCCAACTGAACCGGATTTCATCGGCCACTCAGAAACGAACTTTATTCATACAATTTGTAAATGTGCTCGCAGTGTGGTAAATGGAATCAAATGACACATGGTTGACAGAATGCACACATCAACACAACTTTGATGATGTGTGATTGATCTATGCTAGGCATGCATGTACGAGGACCTTGGGGACGTGTAAGGAACTGCATGCGAGGACTTACCGGGTAAATGCAATCACAGCACTAATGCACAGGTGTATCTTTTTTGTGAATCGCAGAGCGGTGTCCATGGAGGACTCGTTAGACCTGGACCCCGAGGACAGCGGTCGGTTTCAGCACCGCAAGTCCAGCCTGTCCGGCTCGGCCAAGAAGATCTTCGGCAGCTTTGAGAAGGGTCTGGACAAGGTGAAGGACTTCCTGACACCCAGGAAGTGGTCCATCCCGGGCCACGACGAACCCCGTAAAGTCAAGGTACAGAAGACGCTGATGAAAATCTCAGCTTTTCGATTGATCAAGAAGGAAAGGATTAACAAATCACAAGAAGAAAGTAATCATGAACTTCTGAATCTGTTTTCTGTAATCTTCTGCCAATGTAACTAAACCATACTAGAATTCAGTGCATACACGAGAAATAAGTCAATTTCTTTGTAACATCTAAAGGGACCATCACGAAACCATCCTGATGTTCTTATGCTTCACCGTGAGTTGTGTCTTTATGCAGATGCATGAAATGCGATTAGCCTGATTTCAAATGCCAGGCAGCAACCACCGACCTATTTTGCCCACGTACCCAGCACGCTCCCTGAAGACCACTTCACACTGCCTGAAAAGTGCAGGATGCACTCGGCACCGCTAATCCCCTAAATCTCCCATCTCCCAATTATTGACGGTATTCCGATCAGGATTGACTGGAGTGCGCTTTAATGTGGCCCCCGGTGTTCAGTTCAATTTAAGCAGATCAATCAGTGCAGTTGGACAGTAACTCCCCCTCTCCCCGGCCCCAGTGGGGGCTTTGAAAAGTAGGACGAGGTATATATGCTCAGGTGGGTCCAGGGTAAACAAGTGATCAATTTCGGGAGGGGGGACGGATGTCTGTCGCTGAAATGCAGGGACTTAAGTATGCAAACACCCTCTGGCATTGGAACAACACAGCAATCTTCACGATTGGGTTGGTACTTCGTAATGTTCACAGGGATGTCCTCTGTATAAGTACAGGTAAGACCTTGCAGCACCTCAAAAAGAGAAGGTCATTCAGGATAAAAGCATGCATGTGTCTGGTTCACTATGTTGATTATCCCTAATGACCTACAATGCACTGTCACATGTGCCTGCCCTGTTGGAATCCCAGACTGGTTCATTGAATCCAAAGAGACCTCTTTCATGGGTCAGCCATCTTGCTTTTCCACCATTCAAAGCAGTGTAACCAATACTGAGCCTAGAAGGAAAAATAGTCTGTTCCCTTTTATCGATATGTGAAGTTGTATCACTGTTGCCAGAGGGTGTATAGGGAACAAGTCAAACATGGCAGCATCACGATAAAGATCTATAGGAGCCATGTTCTAATTGTGCATGCACTGCTATGATCCACAGCCCTAATTTGTCCTCGCACTTTTCTTTTTCTTGCTTTCAGGCATTGTATAATGTTTCTACCACGTCAACCCTACCTCCAGATCGGGTCTTGGAGATCATGTACAACGCAGCTTGCAAAAGCGAAATCACTGTCTGCAAACAGAAAGGGTATGTCTCTGTCCTGTTTCTTAGTTGGTCCATTTTTCTGTTTATAGAAAGATGATTTGGAAGTGTCAGTATGTAAAATCATACAAATTCTACGCGTTGCATTAGCTGTTTAAAGATGTAAATACGGTGCTGAAAACCCTAATTGGCAAAGTGGCTATTTGGGCAATTCCCTTTGCTAAGCGAAATATTGTCAGGTGATCTTGTTTCATTCAGTTTGAAGGTAGTCCAATTTTGTATTAGTTCATAAATGTGTGCACGTGTGGAACACAGAGCTCATGTTCAAGCGCACGTTCTTAACCTGCATCTTAAGCCATGCACACATATGACCCAGTGGCTGGTCTTGGACCCTACGACTGCACAAGTGATATTGAAGCTGTGCTCAGACTGTATATGACCCCCATCACATGATGACTTAATCAATCCAGAGTTTTGAAGTAATCTTTCATTTTCCTGAAGTCTGGTCCCTGTCTTTGCATCACCCTTGCCAGGTACACGCTGCGCTGCAAGAAGCAAGACTTCAAGGGCCGGACCATCCTGTCCTTCGACATGGAGATCTGCCGCCTGCCCAACCTGGACCTGGTGGGCATCCGACGGCAGAGACTCAAGGGCGACACCTGGGACTTCAAGCGGGTCTCGCAGCAGATCATGGACTTGGCCAAACTCTGAGCAGGGACAGCTAGGTCTCGGACTTCACAGACTTTTGAATTTGGTTCCCACACGAGTTCACCCCACTCTGTCTCCTAAGATTCCTACAAAGTTAGTACAGCGCACACATCAAGCTGCATATTTTCTTTGCCTCTGGAAAACAACACGTGAAGTTAGCACCTGTTCTGTTGACTGTAAACACCTACTTGCTACACTTTGTACAAAGGGCAGTCCATTGGAGTAGCGCCCTCTTGTGCTCAACTGTGGTAATGCTCAGCACTGACTCCTGAGATATCAGACAAGCATGGCAGCAGATAGTCTGGTCAGCTCCAAGCAAGGCCATTCCTCCAATCCATCCCTTACCATTTGTGTCTTTGCCTTCTGGCTTGAAATTGGAGATTCTTGCGTAATATGTATCTCTTTTCTAACTACGGCAGTGTCGCAGTCAAGTCCATCACATGTCCCCGCAAGTCCATCACAAGTCACCCCCCTCATAGCCAAGTCAGAGGCTATTCAAGCAAACTCTGACAGAAACATTCCTATATCATTGGTCGCCTTGTTCACTTACGACTGGTCCTGTGAAAGGACTTGTGATGGACTCGTCTTTGACAATGTATAGAGTACCCAAGTGAATACACCACATGCACAGCAGTGGCGTGGCCAAGGGGGGGGGTCTGGGGGCATGCCCCCCTCCCCACAAATTCCCAGTGCCCCTCCCAGGTGGCCCCTCCCCTGAAAAAAAACCGGATGAATGGATAATGAACAAAGCTAACAAAAACTTGCCCCAAAAAACGACACCACTGAAAGCTGGTGCCCCGTTTGTGGCCCCCCCCCTAGTAAAATCGTAGCTATGCCACTGGTGCAATGTTATGTTTGTAGAAGGTATTTGTCCGAAAACCAGGGTGTGATTCAACATACGCACGTACTCCATTCATTTGCACTTCACTTTCCTGGCTCAAATGACATCACGCTTCGGTACTCTATAACATCGACATCGGAAGCCAACAAGTGGCTCCAGGGCGGAAGATAAAACCGTAACCTATATTTTGGAAAGGGCCCACTCATGCAGAGTTTTCAGCACGGAGAGTAACACTAACAGTTTGTGCTGATCAGCCGCAGCGCTTCGTTATGTGAATGCTGTTCATCACACCAAAGATGAGTAACATCCTATACAAGGTTTGCATGGCTGCCATCTTGCAGGCCAGTGCTTTTGTTCCACAGGGTATGCCCAAAGGACACTTTCCTGTGGAACAAAGGAACCTCCCTGCAAGTTGGCTGCCACGCAAAGCCTCTGTACTGGTAGGGTTGGATATCACAGACCTCTTGAGTTCCAAGACTTGCTGAGCACAATTGTGCTACTTTCACAACATTTCAAGCATTTCTTTTCTCAACTCTTCTTCCTTTTTAACTTTTTTTTTTTTTTTTTTTGGAAAAATGATGGGTGTAGAAAATTGATCAGAAATCACTCTAATCGTCAAAATGAGTACAGAGCATAATTTGGTCAAAAGTGTTTCCCATTTACATGTGTGAATTTCGTTCTTGATGTGTGCTCAACACCATCACGTTTCATGCTGATTCAGTGTTTTCATTTGTAACACTTCAAACATAATTCTGATCATGGATAGTTTCTAATTCATCATTTTTTTTACTTCAGAGCTGAAATGATGCCCTTTGTCTCTTGCTTTGGACTCATTGGATGATTTTTAAATATTTTATATGCTGTACATATAAAACAAACTTATTAAAATGTATCATTAGTTATTTTAGCAAATGATATCGTTGCTTTTAAATAATTTGGTTTTGTAAGTATTCTGGCAACTAATAGGCTCATGCATTTATTCACTCACTTGTAGACGTGCCAAGCCATGGAAGTGAAATGCCAGTTTCAAGTCAGTAGACACCTGTTCATTTGTTATTTATTGCTTATTCATAAATACCTCACGCAGTCTCCCCATTCAACAACATGCAACTTGACCGTGTATTAACATTTGATAATGCCCACTGCGTAAATCACGCGCTGGCACCTGGATACGAGACAGTTTAGTTGATTTTGATTGGTCAAGATTCTGTGTGCTTACAGCTTGCCACGCAAGCACCAAGTCCATATAAGGAGATTTATTTGGACAATTTGCACAAGGAATATTCATGTACCATAAAATGTACGGGGGTGTTCAGGGAAATGAAGGTAAAATCGTTGGACTTCTTTCGACTCTCTGACTAAAACAGGTATTTATGAATGGGAATAAGTACATGTATATGTTTGGCCGGTCTTAAACTAGCGCATGAAACCGGCTCAGGAGACTGAACACTGATGATGCCCGAGCTGCAGTCGCATCCATTCTCCTGAACTGGTCTTAAACGCACGTTTAAGACCGGCCAAGCACATATTTATTCCCTTATTAACTTCTGTGGCCCTTGTAACAAAAAAAATCATATCCAACTTTTCTTCAAATTCTTGTGAAAATTTCACAGTCAGAGTGAATGAGCAACGCTGGAAATTGTAACCAAGAAATCTATGCAAAATTTGTTGTGATGTCAACCGATGCAAAGTGTTTTAAACGTGTTTGTCAGAATGTGACATTCATACATGTACATTTTAGAGTAGCACTGCGTGTTTCACATTTGACGATTTCTGTCGCCTAATCTGTCACGTCCGAAAGGTGTGACACAAGAGCAGCCGATGCTCATGTTGTAAAATTTTGGTTCTAGTACAGGTCAAACATCCTTGAGTTTTTTGTAGATTCTTGTCCATTTTCCCTTTTTTTTTTCAGATTTTGCCTCCTAATTTTTTCCTTTGTTGAGAAGAAATGCAGAAAATTCACTGTGTGTTACAGGTCTACATTAGTGTAACATTGTGGATGGTATGGTGCATGAAATGTTGAGCCCTGATTGTGTTATGAGAGAAGTATGCATGCACTGTGAACCTTGGGTTCTGGGCCAATTTTGTGTACATGTATAGTTTGTGGTCCATTTTTTCTATCTACTTGAGTGGCTTCCAAGAATCAAAATATAAAACCTCATCCAGGGAAAGCAAAGTGATACCCCAATTCTAACCATTCTGGTGTTTATGTTTATTTTGTTTTTCTGTTTTTTCACTTGTTTTGTTTCTGTGTATTTGTATGTTTGTCTTTTTCTTGGGGGGGCGTTGTTTTGTTTTTTGTGCCTACATTCGATGAATTTTGATTTCTTTTTTGTTTGGCTCTCTATCACAGTGCAGATTTTTGCATAGTATATCGGATAGTTGTTACAGCATATCATCACGTTTGTTCTCTGTGTAACTTCACCAATTTAGACTGCTGACTTAAAATTTGACAAGATATCTGACATAGTTGTGAACAAATTGGAGTTTGGTAGAATTATCATTTATTTTCCTCACTCATAAAAGGAAGTCTGGAAGATTCATTTTCTTATTGCTCTTTAAGTTGTCACATATTCTTTGAACCATTGCAAGTGTTTCACGTGTATTCTTGTATCCCAACCATATTTTTTGCCATTACATATTCAAACTATTCTTCGGAAACATTTTGATGGATGAAAGGCATGCGATGTACATATTAATCTACTATTGCTATCAGACAGTTTTCTGTCTTGATTTTATTTTACCAAACTGCAAGATCAAGGATCATAAAACATCCCTGGTAAAATTAGACAGGTACCATCAACGTTACAGTACCTCCAGAATAATATTCCAGTGGGAACAAGATCAAGATGGCAGCAGCCTGGGTAGACTTGATTTTTTCAACTTGTATGATATTGCATATATTAACTCCTTTGTATTATTTTAATATAGGTGATCTGACTGAAGATGTAATTACGACACGAAAGGTTTTTTAATGCAATTCGTCACTTTCAGCATATTTATAAACAATTTTAACCCATTCTGAAGTCAGTTTGGGTGCTAATAATGGCTTGCGATAACAACTTTATTTTGATAGTAGCTTGAAACTTCATTTTATTTTTTAATCCGTAGACTTAAGACAACATCGGGCCAAAATTAAGTCTCCCTCACAACTTCTAGAAGTTGTACAACTTGACCATGAGCTTGGGTTCGTTTGCTTATTGCATGGTAGAAACTCTGTAAAGTATATGGTTAGATTGTCAGATCTGGCATATAGGAATCTGGATGGAAGTAATAGACCTTATCCACAAGTCGGCCATATTGAATTGAAAGCAAGGTGTTTTTTTTTTTGCATTTTAAGAACCCCAAAATAAAAATTGAAAGCAATGAAGAAAAGTTTATTACAGATTAATTTCATTTACAACAATGAAAAAGTGAAAATATGTGATTTATGATATCTAAATGTTATAAGCAACATTTAAAATACAATGAAAGTGAGGACTGCATCACAATGGTTTGGCACCACCCCGTTTGAAAGATTACATTGAATAAGATAGATTCAGGGAACATGATAAAAAATGGCTACCTTGTGAATAGGGTCTAGTGCATAGAACAGAATCGTTTTGGTTCAGTTCAGTTCCATCCCAAGCTTTGTTCTGGGCACTGACACATTCTTCCTGGTTATGTCAGCCTGAGTGAGGGTCGGTACCCGCAAAGTTAACCATTTGTCAGCTAAACATATTCGATCCAAATTTGCAATGGAAGCGATTTGTCTGTTTTGGGCTGAGAAGTCGTTTGATAAAAAGTGGTTACAATTAGTGCTGCATTGAATGCTAACGAAAATGGTGCATTCGTGAGGAATATTTTTTATTGTCTTTCATTTCTAACATCTACGATCACCTGGAATTATGTTGAGAGTGATAAGCACCCTCACAAAGACAACAGTAAATTGGTTGACATGTTGTGCAATAAATAGAAACCGGCACATGCAAACAAGGGGTACTGCGTGATTTCTTTTCAGATGTTGTTTTGTGAACATGGACTTCGGAAAACAGGACCAGTTTGGTCATTTTCTGTAAAATCTGAAACCTAGGCGCACACAGAACAAAGATATCTCATTGTCATCTTCATGTAGGTGTGAAGTGACGTGTTTACTCCACAGGGAAGGAGGGGTCACAAGGTTGCATCATGTACAGCTCTGGACTTGAAATTACCTTTAGAATGCTTCACTGGATTTCAGACCACTTGGAAGAACTTCATAACCAGGGAGCAAGGTATGTCTTGGAAACACCACTGCGGCAACATTTTCCATCATCCACCCTGAGCTGAAGTGCACCCGCACCGGCGAAAGACAGATATGTGGTACTAAGTTTCCTGACCAGTTCTTGCACTTGTTTTGTGTGTACGCGAAGACCATTCCAGACTAAATTGTTGTGCGCGTGCTCCGTGTCATAGGCACATAAACTTGCATGCCTATGCGGACAGTGCGGACCAAACTATTTCAAAACACACCCTCTTTTGTTCTTGCACAGAGCAGATTGTGAGGGCAAGTTTTGGAGTTTGCTCATCGTCCGAACAGGGCCCTTGGAAGGAAATGCGTCACACAGGGTCACAGTTAATGACGCACTGAGCAGTGTGGGTAAATTTTTGCCAGGTGTACGAGCTCGTTCGGTGCTTTACACAAGTGGCGGTTATCAATGCTATCTTTTTCTTTTCTTCCTCTTTGAAAATATTCTCACTGCACTTCATTGGTTCATCCAGAATTGACCAAGAAACCAATGATTTGAAATATATCGCCCAAAGACACGTGATCAGTGATACTTAGAAGATAAATTACCACACTGATTGTTCCAAGGCCATGTGTTTAAGATTAGCTGACACTTTGCCTACGCCAAAGCACTGTCATTGGCGAACCCAAAACTTAAAATTAACATTTCACTAACAGGAAGTGATAACCTCACGGTAATCACAGATCGAGCATAACGTAGCCAATCAGGGTGCAAGGCCATCAGCCCTTCCCAGTGCCCTGTTTGGGCACTGGGCAAATTTTTGGAGTAACTGTTAAACAGTACCAGGTCTCAAGTACAGACTTAATTTCAATGACAGGGCACAAGAGAACCCGGTAGCTACTTCTTGTACCCCACTGGAAATTTATTATATACATACAAAAACACCCAAAATAAATGTTACAATTGTTAAACTCTGTATACATTTTGTTCGTTATACTTCTGTAAATGTCCTATTTGTAACTACACCAAAATAACATGAACTTGTTTTAAAAAAGACAAAGAAAACTTGAGTTTTCTAAGATTTGCTACATTTCTAAGAATCAACTAGAGGAAATTAGTAATTTTTTTCCAACCATTCACAACTGTCAACCAAATGACACTGATTATCAGCAGGTTTGCCAATTGAAATAATGCCCTATTTTCCCAAGCAGAAACATCTGTCATGCAACATAGATACTTCATGAGAAACTGTTTTTTTCAAATTAAAAAATCTTTTACTTTGTACAGACCACAAAATACTGGACATTTTTCACACTTGTACACGATTCTATATTCTCTTCAATTTCAAACAAACGGCCTAATGTTTTCACCTACAACAGTTCACTTAAACTTTAAAAAATATTATTTTTCAGTCAAGAATTTATTGATTTGGAAATTTTCATCGGCAAACTTTAGTCCAGTGGTGCTTACTGGCTGTATTCAAAGGAACTGTGGGAGATGATTGTGCACACCAGGAACAAGACTTGTTTGAAAATCTGTTCAAATATCTTTGGCTCTGGTTTCCTTTGATTTTCTGTGAATCAACTCGTCAGCAGCAATTCATACAGGAAAGGGCAAAATGGCTTAGACAAGATCTCACGTGAAAGTTCAATGATACATGGATGATAAAATGATCAAATCTACGAACGCTTTGAAATAATTTTCGTTTACAGTTAAATATAAAATGCACCCAGGTGAAAAGAAGAACTGGTGAAGACCTTACTGCACCCTGTTCACCATGAACTGTTGTCATTACGCATGTAAAAAAACCTTCGCCTGTTCGGAGAACACCAGCGGGTAATGCTGAAGTTACTTTGATGTGGAAACATCTTTGTGTACACAAACATAATTAACAGGCAATAAAAAATTTAAAATGAAGATAAAAATAATACCGCTACCCTGCTACTTAATGTACACATTTATAATGTTGAGTGAGAAAACACATTAATAAATGTTGCCTTGGCTGCTCGCGAGCCCAAACCATTTCAACCGCTTGAAATTTTACACCGGACTCACGAGATTACTCTTATGCAATCTGTCATCCTGTAACTCATTACAGAGCAGGAATAAAGACCGTGACACATCTGGTTGTCACTTGACATTTGGATAAACACAATGGATTACAGAAATATGAACATCCAGAAGCAAAATTCATGGTAATTGTTTTGTTGGACTTTTCCCGCAGAAAGGCTTCACCGTTCTTAATCAATGTGTCCACAATTACTAATGGCATTGGGTACTCTGTGACACGTTACGCATGGTCGCTGATTTGATCCGTTCTCCGGTTGACCGATGAAGCATTTGTGTAAATGAGGGTTTGAAATCATGTGGGTGCAATCCGTCGTTAATGCAGCCCTGAAGAAACACGTAACAATCTTTCCTGCTATAAATTTAGAATTACGACTAATGAATAGAATCAACAGGCTTACACCTTGGAGGTTTTATAACTCGGCAAAATAAACATTACCACACAATCTGCACGCTTTCAGTACCCATAATACCTATGACAGCAAGCTAACTCAGTTTTGAAGTACGTCTAAAACAAAAAGGTATTTAACATGAACACAAAAATACAACTCTGCTGGTATAGTATGCCTTTGGAATTTTTTCTACAACTAAATACATTTTATGTACAGATTTTGAAACTGACAAAAAACGGAGCAGTGTTGCTATAGAGACACATAAATACCCACTTTGCTAACTGGTCAAATTGTTTCATATATGGACGCGATTTTCGAGTCATACCGACTCTTCAAATTCTCATCTGTACAAATTTAACATAATGAATCACACTGTTATGTTTACAGTCACAAAAGGAGATATGGATAAACAACCACAGTCACTCGCAAAATACTGCATGCAGATCCAGAGTGTTTTCACGTTCAAGATCAACACTTCTGAAAACATTGGGGCAAGCACACATTGGAACAAATGCTTACAGAACCTAGAATGCATGAATATTCATTTTGACATGCATGCATAGCAGTAAGAGCGTGTTGCTTACCGTGAATGAGTTGGGCCTTGTGATGCCTTGCATTGTCATGGCAACCAGTACAGCACATACTCTCATGCATGTTTAATATCAGATTAGTGACTGCAGAAAGCATTTGTGATTTCAGTACAGTGAGTATGCATGACTGCATCCTAGTTTCACGGAAACAGTTCTCAAAATCAGTTCCACTTTTGGCTAACATGTACAAAATAGACGGTTAATTTCCACCATCTGTAGATGTGTATGTCTGTTCGTCTAATGTGCCCAAGGGTACAAGCGTCAAAGCTCAAACTAATCATTTTCCAAGCAACGGCCACGGAGGGGGGTAGGCAGCTATGAGACCATCAGGCATCAGCTATTAATACACTGATCCATTAAGCCCCATCATATTGTAGGACCTGCGAAAGGTGGGGATATTGCCCCGTCCCCCGAGTTTCCACCACCCCCCCAAAAAAAATCGCAGAAGCTTGGCAGCATAAAAGGGGTCAGCTGCTGTGTCAGCTTGGTATTGATACAAATGGACACACTAAAAGAGATACAGCATGTTGCTGTCCAGTTCCTAAATCACATGAAATGGCAACGTATCTATTTTGACAAAACAGGTACGTTGCAGCGATACTAAAAGCTGATTCATGCTTCCAGCTGCATCTTAGAATGTCAGTGTAACAAATTTGAAAGCCTCATGCAAGTAAGATCCAGTTCATTCACCCCCAAACTATGCTGCATTTGTACGTGTCCAAAGAAGTTCTTTCCAACGTAAGATTTCATTTCTGGATGCTGAAAAACTTGAGACATGGAAGGCACTCAATAACGATGCCGTCACGATCAACCCTCCAATCTGAGAAACAAGAAACTCAGGTGGATTTGCCTCGCTGGGGTTCGAGAGCAAATCACATGCTGATGCCGGCAGCCTTTGACCGATTGGGCTGCACTTGGCTGGTCGAGAAAGCTGATTGGCTCCTTTGGGCCACATCTGCCAGGGTTGACAGGCCTACTGCAGAGGAGACAAACATGGCAGAGGTTCTTCAGGTATAGGTACATTTAGCCTGCAAAAGCAACAGTGAACAATGTCAGAAATGTGAACAAAGGGGTTTGCTACCCGCGGGGGGGGGATTTTTAAGGATATTGATACCTATTAAGAACAAATAATGCAACACATGTGCCAGTGCAAGTCACAGCGGAATGAGTACCACAAGTCTATCAGCTCCGAGCAGGAACAAAAGAGGGTGTGCTGGTACAGAGCAACAACAATCTTTTGGTGGAAAGTCTCCTTGTCCACACATAGGTTTATGCGCGTTTGGTGTGGGCCGTGCCAAGTACCCGCCAACCAATTTATAGTTGAATCACTGAGGTCCATTTTTACGATCTCAATTGTAATGGAGATAAATGGTTTGAATGCATGCATGCTGCATGTGCTTGAGCCTGGTTGAAAAACTTCCAACCAGGATGTCTGTTCCTTGCCGGCGAGGATGCGCTTCATCTCAAGGTGGAAAGAAAGCACCAAGGACCAGACTACCACAGGTGGTCTACTCACAGGAGCTAATCCACATTGGGTATGGCATGCACACACACTGGTTCACACATTTGTTTCACATACGTAGTGTGGACATTGCTCTGTTCTCCAATGGTTCAGAAAACTGCAGGAAAATACTCCTTTTTCTCCCACTAGGATAACTCCTTCGAGCTGGATTTTTGATGATGATTTCCTGGACTGTCCCTCTTCATTTAGCTACGGATAACCTTGACCCCAAAATGCCTCTGGCTTTTAGAGAGAGGAAAAACACTGTGTGGACATGTGCAAGTCCACACAATGTTTTCTGACCTCACATTTTGTGGACTTCTTTGGAGCAGAGGTCCACACTATGTTTTCTATGCTTGTATACACTTGTACAACAATGAGTATACACAATCCGTTTTTCTCCAAATATCCACAAAGCCCTTGTCTCTTTTAAATAAGCTGCATGCCATTACTGCATATCTATAGAAATGAATTGTTACCTTGTGTATATGCTGAACTGGGATCTGGCTTGATGATAGAGTTTGACGAAGACACTGGCATCTGTAGTCCGAGTACTGAGGCTGGCTTCAGCTCAGTTAAGACTGCACTCTCCGAGGACGTGCCATCATCTACGGGGTGGATGGCACTGGCAGCTTCTTTTGGAGATTTTTGTTCTGAATAATAAACAGTCACATATGAAGGGTCATAAAAGCTAGTCCACTCAACGTCTTGTGCTGTATCATGGTCCATAGAAAGACACTTGGACTTATGCTCGGAGACAACTTTTTCAATTTGTGAACCTCTAAATGAGTAGCCAGAGACATCTTAGAGTAACAAAGACTCTGCAAAACAGAAATCAGCAGAAACTTCACATAAATTTTACACATTTCTGTACTATCCTTTTACAATCCTTCGAACAAGGCCGTTCAAAAAGCCTTGTCACATGTAACAGGGCAAACAGTGACAAAGGAATGTTTTGTCAGAATTCACTGGAATGGCTTCCAACTTGGCCTCAGACTACATAGCCAAATATGGACTCCTATGAAGGTCTTGCTGGGACTCATGAGGACAACCCTAACTCAAACTGTCTTGGACAGAAAAAAGGGCTGCTGATCGTTAATATCAGTATTTGACTTAATTTGATCTCACCTGTCCTTATGAGGTGCTGGGCGGGCCTACTTGGTGTCCCCGTGTTCTCCTGCTTGATTGTTGACATGAGTGAGACGGGTGTGAGTGTTGGAGGAGATGATATGTTCAACTGTGTCGATTCGCTGGCCATATTCTGTGAGTAACAAACAGTACATTCACCATTAGGCATGTCTCAGGTAAAAGTACCTGTACATATAAAAAGACCTGGTACAATACTGGTTACACTAGAGGCGAGTGCCAGTTTCTTCCACGAGCACAGTTGAAGTACCCGAGTCTAATTTAATTAAGTAATGAGTGCTAGAAAGCGACTATAAAGATCAGCTTGTAGTCAGTTCATTTAGATACAGATCAGAAGAATTTTCCATAGGTTTAAAGGTGAGTATACAACTATTGCAACGAGGGTGAAAACATTTTTTTCAAGGGGGGTAGTGAAAACAAATGAACCATGGCTTGCACATAAGCCATGTACACTTCAGCATTTCAAATAGGGTAAGGAGCACCACGGGGGCATCCCACCCCTAATCCTAACCCCCACCCCCGTCCTCCTTCCACTCAAGACTGTGTGGACTCACTATTAGTTGCTGCTGGTAATAATTGCTGGTCTCACTACTCAAGTTTCCACTGTCAAACGGCAGGCGGAAAATCCTCTGCGTGGCTTCGTCCTTCACCAGAACCCCGCCCCCGCTGTATCCCACCAAGGAGGCCAGGTTGGCAGTGCCACCCCCGCCCGGGGGACCTGCAACGTGGATGTAGGGCATGGGCTGAGCTTGGCTCATCGGGGCGGAATGGGACAGAATGGGCATAGGCGACTTCATGGCAGCTACAGGGGAGCTGAGTTGGGTCAGTGTTGTGGCAACTTCTAGACAAACACAAATAACAAACAAAATCTAATGAATTTTTTAAAAATCATTCACATTTAAGGCTGAATCAATTGCAGATCAACTGATCATGCAAGTGCAAATCGGACAAGTATCCATCCAAACAGATGCATATAAGTAGTTAAAATTACTACAAGGGGGTAACCAGGGGTACACAAACTCTTTCAAGGCACATAAGACTTCAAACGGGGAGGTGAGCCCGAGGCAGCCTCCAGTGCACCCATGGTTAGTCACTACATCCAAAGTACAAGCATCCACATGCCAATGGTGTAAGTCCACATGAACACACATGCCCATCGCTGATGCCCAAGTTTTAGCAGCCTCAAAGGCATTGTAATCACATACATGTGCATGTACAGGTACATACATTTGTATGTCATATGTCAATTTGTTTTGTAATTCTAAATGAAATGAAATGTATTGTAACTTCTGGGCAACACTGGAAAATAATGGTGCACTGAGAGGTTTCAACAGGTTAAGTGAGAGATAAATAATACATACAAATGTATTCAATCACAAACTAAACAGCTAAAGTAGGTGTTATCTTTTTTATTTTGAATTTCAATATTTCTCCAGCATTAAGCATCAAAACCAAATAATCGACAAAATCAAATTATGTTTAATAACAAGTAACTTTTGGAAAAGAACTGCAAATTTAGTTTTGCTTTCAACAAAGGGGCATTTTCAAAGCTTTTCTTTTTATTTTTTCGCAGCATGGTAATTGAAAACAGCTGGGACGCTCCAGCAGCAGAAATGCACGGCCCACTGAATGCTGGGTTATGCCTGATTAACTTCATGTACATGTACGCTTTGCATGAAGCTTGTCGTTTATGTTGATGTCACTAAAAATGAACAAGCGGGTAATGTATAGCTAAAATCTAAAACTACTTGGCTCCGTACAAATGCATCCTGAGGTTATTATCCTTTTTCCTGCCCTGAAAAAGATTTTTTAAAAAGATATCCCCATTTGTGTTCGGTACTTTCATGCAAAAAACGACTAGAATCAATTCTTAACTTGGTATCGGAATTACGATTCCGCTTTATTGAAGAAAATCAATTCTGTTTCCCTTAGATCCAATTCCCAAAGAGTCAAATACAAAACGGTCTATGTCAAATTTATTCCTTTGTGCACTTCCAATAAAACCTTAAATTTCAAACCAAGTTAAAGGAAGATCCACAATCATGTTTACATGTACAGAGATGCATGTACGGGTTCATTGTCTCATGTACAATTGATACAACATCCCAACAGTTGGCACTTCTTTTTTCATATTTTTGCTGATGACAATTGGAATCCATTATGAGCGGCATCCGATTCCTGGAAATGCAAGGATATTGCCAGACACCACGCTCCACCCCACAGTGACTCGACCAGAACTGGGCAGTCACAAATATTAGGCAGATAGATCATGGCTTATTCTCAACTGGTTAAAAAGGCCCAGGAAGCACAATACTCTTTATGTTAGATAGGACTTTATCTTCGAAGCACAATACTTTCTCGGCCACTGTCTACATGTACTGTATGTCTCAAACAATATCGAATAGGGTGACTAGGCAATGGTTGAGACATCGTCCACCACACAACACGTCTTCTACATAATCATCAAATGTTCTAATCATGTACATGTAAGTTGCATGTGTTTGTTAAATGTATTTGAAGTTCAAGAAATAAACAAACATCACAAATATGGAAAATCGTTTGAGTCCGTACAATGCAATACATTTTGATACATAATAATTAATCCATTTGTTATAATATGGGTAAACTAAATGGACATGTTTATGAGAACGTGTGTCATATATCACGTCAAGTTCCTGTATTATTTCACGTACTATGTTCCGAGCACAGACATTTCATTGTCTGACGGTGAAATGACCTATTTGATATACTTGTATTGAATCTCCATGACTCTTAATCTTTGTAAAACCAAATCCACGGGTGGCAAAGCAATGTAAATTGGCATCTACTTTGGTTTATTAACATTCTTGGTTTTTTCCACTTGATAATTTCCTGCATTTTCTGCAACATTATGATGAGATGTGATTGAAAATCATGATGGATTCTTGCAACATCACAATCCACTTTTGCCAAAGCCACCTACCTAACCTAAGCATGGGTAAATCTGTTCTCAATCTTCAACTTTCATAGATGACTTCTTAGGAAAATCACATTTTCTACATCTAAAGGCAAAATAATCTTTTAGCAATAGCAATATATATTTTTCACAAAAACAGTAAATGATTATATTTGACAATGGCCCACTCTGTAAATTCCACAAATATATTCAACAAAATGTAGCTCCTAAACAAAATTTAAAAGTAATTTTATCACTCAGCACTCCCTACTTCCCAACCTTTTCCGAGAGGCAAATATCAGAATTTTTTTTGGCCACTATGCCTTATTTGCAATTCCGCCGTCATCACCATTTTCCAGCAAAAGGCCTCTGGCAGCCAACAGTGTGTTATACCCTGGGTCTTTTGTCAGCCATCTTTTGCTTCAGTGGTTCCGCCTGCTGTGTGCATCGTTCTGTGAAAGGTTCCCATCTCAGTACAAACAACTTGACTATGGGAGATCAGGATGTATGCATAAAGTGTACGGTCCAGTGAGCAGCCTATAAAATCTATACCACATGTACATGGCTGACCCCTGTCCCTCCAGTCCCCGGCTTTGTTACCTGCCCACTGAAGCGCAAAAAGGCTGGCTGTGAATTAGGGATTGTATTGGAAGTTTGTGGCTCTTTTTCTGGTACCAAAACTGAGCTTCATAAAACTTTATCGCGAAACTGCACAACAGGAAATGTACAGGTACATGTACACCTGCCATCTCAACTATTTCATTGCTATGTGGAAAGCTGCGAGGTGAGGTGTTTCAAAATTGGTCCTGCAGATAACAAGGTCCACTTGTTTTCTGGCCCCGTGCCTTTCTGCCAAAGACTGGCACAGACGATATACATACAATAGCCAGACCTTGAGATTCGGGGAACCTAAACCAGTAACCACAGAAAAGGCACACCAATGGAACAAAGCGTACAAAGAAATATGTAGAACTGCAGGTGTAAGAACACAGACAAAACAACCTCCCCCTTTTTTTCTTGAATCCGTTTACTCTGACTCACAACTGCATGTGCGCAGAGTATACGTATTTCTCTGCACTTGCAAATCCTTACACAAGGTTAATTTTTTAAAATATAGAAAAATAATAAGCAAGATTGAAGATGGTTGTACCGCTTTGACATTTTTGCTTTGATCCTTTGTTTTCGTTGAGAGGTGTTTGATAAGGGGTGGGCGAGGCATCTGTCCGCTCGAAGCTCTCTACTCTATGCGCTTGTTACTACTGAATGAAAATACTTGAAAAATGACGCTTTAGTTCACCATCACCGCCACCAGCAGCTTTTCATTCCCTCTCAACTTGGACCAGTAAGTGTCCAGAGAACCCCAATGACATTCAGGGTTTACACACTTTCACCTTGTTACTTGATATATTCATTTGCAGCTCCAGTTTTGCCACAGTGAAAGCCAGATAGTGCAGGCAATGGAAATGCCCATCTCTGACAGTAGCCCGACATTTAACAAAAACAATCGGCAGAGTGAAGAGGTTCTTGGGAAATGCAAGTAGTTTATCTGCACTGAAAATGTCTCCTTTGAATCCTCCAAAGAGATATTCAAGTTGATATTGTGCTTGTTTCCTCCTAGCAGCAGCCTGACAATTTTATTTATCAATCCTGGAAAGCACAAGAGCACAGCAGAAAAATGTGCCTTTCAAGATACTACGCAAATGGCAGAAAGAAGACATTGCATTGTGGTGAGCTGTAGCATAACCGTGAAAGTCAACTGTGAGAATTAAGACAAGAAAGCATAGTTGAATGTTTACAAGGTCACTCCACTGGGTTTCCAGATCTTGCTCTTTCCTTGTTTAATATCTATTTCGACCCTCGCAAATTACACCATTGACATAGTAACACTTTAATTTTTTTAAGGCATGCACTAGAAACTGCACATTCAATTTGCACAAATCATTGACAGAACACCAACTTCTTGCCAGAAAATAAACAATATTCGCACTTTTTTGTTTCACTTTGTCAAGTTCATTTGCTTTATTGGAGTGAACAGGAAACATCGAAATCACAACAGCTCTTCGATACAAACAACCAACCAAAAAACCACTTAATACAGACTGAATATTAAAGGTACATATAGTCGGCTTACAAAAACTGCAAATGGTTACATTGGGTAAATAAAACCATCACCACTTGAAAAAAAAGGAAAAAGAAATTTAAAAAAAGGGACAAGACAAACTAGAAAGCAATTCACAGACCAGCAGAAAGGCTTCTTGTTTCTGAAAGTTAAAATAAAGCCAATGATTATCTTAAAATATGTGGCCAAGTTAGCTTAAACTGTTAATGTTTTGGTGGCAGTATCCATCTACTATAAGTTGCTGAAAACAACAAATAGCAGCAGAGACTTCTAACCCATACACTGTTATGCAGTTGTTGCTGAACTGAACTGATCACGGCCCAATTTCATGGTGCTGTTACTGCAGAATTCCAGGCTTACGATCTCCATTCTGCGCTAACCATGCTAGCAGAAAAATTCCTCGCTAACCCATGAAATATATTCCCCACATGCACAGAAGTTTCTGCTACGGTAAGCGCCAATTTTTCGCAGGCAGTAAGCAGCGCCATGAAATTGGGCCCCGAACTGAACTGTACACCGACATAAAGATTTCTGGACCAGTATGCATAGCATGTATGTGCCCGCACAGTTGAACACACTCTTGCTGGCAATAATAACACTCTATCGATTGCCAAGGCCACATTTTTACGGCAGATCTTACGCTCAATCACGAGGATCTGGAGTTATGACGAACTACATGCCCATGTACATGTCCGTGAAACGTAAAACTCCAAGTTCCGGGGAGACCCTATGAAAGATTGTAGCCAAGCAACATGCAATGTCTATTCACTATTTTTTTTTTAATATCAACCAAGTCTCATCTGTACCTTAAATCATAAATATGAGGTGTGTTTTGTATTCCTTACTTCGACGAACGTAAACTTTCTCCTAGAACATTAGGAGTATTTCATTAAAGCAAGAACTTCACCTGTCATCTGTTGCTTCAAAACATCAACAAATTGGGGACAGCTGCATGTAGAATTGCTGGCTTGTCATTTCTGCTTCTTCTGTGTTTTTTGGCCAGCTGGCAAAGTCAAAATTGGCTGTGAATCCTTCTTCAGCCTGTACCTTTTCTACAGGACTTCAGGATTTGTTGGCTTGCCTTGCAGGCATTTTTGTTTATATTTTTTTTTCAATTGTTTTGACCTCTTGGTTCAAGCTTTATCCCCAAGCACCTTCCCCAACCCATCAAGATCAGGACAAGTGTTAAGCAGTTGACTGGATGAGGTCCTGAACAGCCAAGCTGTCACTGTAATTTACCCTGACCTGTTCCTTCTTTGCACAAAATGATATGCAATGTTCGATCCTTGCAAACTTTGTGATCAGTTCTTGGGGGTTACGCTAAAAAAAAAATACACGTACCACGCATGATGCTGTATTTATTAGTAATAAATCAGAAACACAGCCCACATTTCAGACCAATGAGTCTTCATTGCCAATCCGTTTTCTATTTCATTGTTTCGTCAGATCAAATCTGTGAAAATACAATGTACTTGTCCATAAATGGACACCTGAGCTCGACAAAGCTGGTCCAGTAAGTCCTGTATAACTTTTAACAATCCACTATCTATTGTTAACTTATCTGATTTTGAGGACTTTGAAGGCAAGACATGCGAACAGAAATACTCAGACACACTCACATTAATGTGAACACTGGAACTTCCCTGGGAAAATTTCTCCGTCTAATTTCAACTTTTGTGTGTGCGTAGATCCCTTAGCATGGTCGTGGTTAGCTTGCAACTATGTCGCAATACCTTACTGATTTTTTCATATAACATTTCACAAACACTGTCCACAGGAAATACAAAGGGGTCAAATAAACAGAGTTTAAACTCCCTAAAATTAATGCGTTTCACAATACAGTCACAGCTACCCTGACGATGTGGGCACAGAATGAACAACTCTCATCACAAAACACAGTGTCACGTCGGCTAGTTCCGGTTTTCAGTTATAAATTGGTATTTACAGTATAGCAAACAATAATTCATTCATTATTTTTCTTCAGTTCTACATTTCATGATTATCAATTCTCCATTTAAATACAGCGTTCCGACTTTATCCACTACATGGTATCCCCTAGTTACAAATCAAATCATGATTATTTTTCTGATGAACATATCAATAAAATCCTACAGCTACTGTGCCCTTTAAATAAATTTATACATAATTTACACACGTCACCAAAACGGACATACCAAAAAAAATGAAATAAAAAATAAATTAATGCAAGCAACATGCATGCAACATGTTTCATGAAGGTAAAGCATAAAGCTGTCATCTGGACAATCCAGATGTGTCGAGGAAATTCTGCGTACCACACTGAAACGCAATTGTTGAGAAATGATTGGCGTCGGTTTGAACTTTCTATGAATCCACTGAAGTTTTACTTCCGAATGGGTTTTGTCAAAATCCTTGAAAGATTTGACGGAAATAGTCTTCATTCAAGAGGTTTGTAGAAATGGCCAGGGTGACAGCAGGTCAGCGGGCAAAACAGACCGAATGTGACGGCTTGAAACGACAACTTTAGGTCAGCGAGACAGACAGATCGTTTATTTCAGAAAATGAATCCATACGCGCGTATGCATTCTTAAATAATTTGGCTTTCGGTTGGTAGTAGAAGCAGGATTCTACATGCATTTCTTTAAAAAAAAAAGGAAATGGTGTATTTTGATATCGGAAAAACCACACTGCAAAGCTCAATTCAATGTCGTTCAGAAAATGTTAGTGTGAACAAAATGTTAACAGCAGTCATTGCAGAAGGATCCGAGAGTAGTGTACACTGTGTTTATGCCCCAAACACCAGGTCAAACAGGAACAAGAGCCATTATGCGTCATCTTTAAT